GCTGACTATTGGCTAATACCTGCCCTGTATCGTTCATATGTAAATAGTCAGCGCCACCTACTCTAAGTAGAAGGTTTTCTCTCAACAGACCATTAATGCAAGAGGACGCAACTCCTGCTGCTTATATAGCTCTCCCACACCCAAACCCACGCTGACTATTGGCTAATACCTGCCCCGTATCGTTCATATGTAAATAGTCAGCGCCACCTACTCTAAGTAGAAGGTCTTCTCTCAACAGACCATTAATGCAAGAGGACGCAACTCCTGCTGCTTATATAGCTCTCCCAGTGCCAGACCCATGCTGACTATTGGCTAATACCTGCCCCAGATCGTTCATATGTAAATAGTCAGCGCCACCTCCACTCTAAGTAGAAGGTCTTCTCAACAGACCATTAATGCAAGAGGACGCAACTCCTGCTGCTTATATAGCTCTCCCACACCAGACCCATGCTGACTATTGGCTAATACCTGCCCCATATCGTTCATATGTAAATAGTCAGCGCCACCTACTCTAAGTAGAAGGTCTTCTCTCAACAGCCCATTAATGCAAGGGGACGCAACTCCTGCTGCTTATATAGCTCTCCCAGTGCCAGACCCATGCTGACTATTGGCTAATACCTGCCCCGTATCGTTCATATGTAAATAGTCAGCGCCACCTACTCTAAGTAGAAGGTCTTCTCTCAACAGACCATTGTGGAAGGGGACGCAACTCCTGCTGCTTATATAGCTCTCCCACACCCAGACCCACGCTGACTATTGGCTAATACCTGCCCCGTATCGTTCATATGTAAATAGTCAGCGCCACCTACTCTAAGTAGAAGGTCTTCTCTCAACAGCCCATTAATGCAGGAGGACGCAACTCCTGCTGCTTATATAGCTCTCCCACACCCAAACCCACGCTGACTATTGGCTAATACCTGCCCCATATCGTTCATATGTAAATAGTCAGCGCCACCTACTCTAAGTAGAAGGTCTTCTCTCAACAGACCATTAATGCAAGAGGACGCAACTCCTGCTGCTTATATAGCTCTCCCACACCCAGACCCACGCTGACTATTGGCTAATACCTGCCCCGTATCGTTCATATGTAAATAGTCAGCGCCACCTACTCTAAGTAGAAGGTCTTCTCTCAACAGCCCATTAATGCAAGAGGACGCAACTCCTGCTGCTTATATAGCTCTCCCAGTGCCAGACCCATGCTGACTATTGGCTAATACCTGCCCCGTCGTTCATATGTAAATAGTCAGCGCCACATACTCTAAGTAGAAGGTCTTCTCTCAACAGCCCATTGTGGAAGGGGACGAACTCCTGCTGCTTATATAGCTCTCCCAGTGCCAGACCCATGCTGACTATTGGCTAATACCTGCCCGTATCGTTCATATGTAAATAGTCAGCGCCACCTACTCTAAGTAGAAGGTCTTCTCTCAACAGAACATTAATGCAAGAGGACGCAACTCCTGCTGCTTATATAGCTCTCCCAGTGCCAGACCCATGCTGACTATTGGCTAATACCTGCCCCTGTATCGTTCATATGTAAATAGTCAGCGCCACCTACTCTAAGTAGAAGGTCTTCTCTCAACAGCCCATTAATGCAAGGGGCGCAACTCCTGCTGCTTATATAGCTCTCCCAGTGCCAGACCCATGCTGACTATTGGCTAATACCTGCCCAGTATCGTTCATATGCAAATAGTCAGCGTCATCTACTCTAAGTAGAAGGTTTTCTCTCAACAGCCCATTAATGCAAGAGGACGCAACTCCTGCTGCTTATATAGCTTTCCCAGTGCCAGACCCATGCTGACTATTGGCTAATACCTGCCCGGTATCATTAACATGCAAATTGTCAGAGCCACCCACTGTAAGTAGAAAGTTCTTTTTCAACAGCCAATTGTGGAAGAGGACAAACCCCTGGTGCTTACTGCACCACATGCAACAAACTCTCTGATTGGGTTGACCCAAGGCCATACCTATAACAGCCCAGGCGATCATACTTTTCATCAGAGAGACTGCGGGCAAGTGTTTCAGTTACCAGATAATTTTTTAGCTGGTAACACTTGACTTTCAGTGATCTGACACATAGCAAATTCATTCTGAAAGGAAATTTTCACCCATCAAATTTATTTTTGTTGAGCAAAATGTAACAGTATTTACAAAGTTAAAAACATGCACTTTCCTGAATTTTCTTTCATTTGCTCTCACCACATAAATTCAGTATAATAAGTCGAGGGCATTTCTTCTCTGAACCAAACATCCACTAGGTGTATTTCTACCACATTTGCCCACCCCCAGAACAGAATATCTATTGAGTGATATGAACATAATTCTGTCCATGTTTTCTGCTATCATTTCTAAACTAAATCTCCACAAGGCTTGAAGATTTGACAGTTTGGTTTATTTTGTTTTATGGCATATCAACCTCTAGATAGGTTTGTATGAATAGAATATGTATTCTTTGTAAGAAATTAGGTTTCATTGATGTATTTTTGTAAAGAGAGTTTTTGTCGAGAATCAAATATATTGCTGGTATTTTTACTATAAAATCTATTTTTATACTTTCATAATGTTTTGACCCCAGTTTAGGAATTAACTATTTGCCCAAATCTGGGACCCTAACAGATGCTACCACCCTTGCCAACTGCAGTTTTTGTCCCTGGTTTTATTGGCTTGAGGCATCTTACAAAGACTCAGAACTTGACTAATTGCAGAGAGTCCATATCTAGACATGCCAAACTGTCCCACTGCATATGGGAAAAACCCAGATGTAACTGATGGTTGCAAACATGTCTGCATGCAAGCCAGAACTGACATGCGTTCACCCCAAAGTTACTGAGAGTGAGAGAAACAGAGAGGACAATAAAAGAACAGGATTCAAGGAGACAGGAAATCATGATTGACATTGCATTTAAAATTTTGAAGATCGTAGTTGACAGGAAAACAGGAAGAGAAATCCACAAGTGAGATTCTCTTGTTCTATAAACATTTTTATAAATTTATGAATAGAAAGTGTTTTTGTAGTTATTTCTTTATAAAATGGTAAATAATAAATATTACATTGTAGTTATTTCACAAACAGACAAGCCTCTCATTTACAGACACCCCCCTCCATCAACAGACTTCAGATGCAACAGACAAAATCTGCAGGTAAAATAAAAAGTTATGCAGGAAAAAAAAACTCCAAATTGTCAGTGATGTATTTCAAAATTTGTAGGCTTAGCAAAATGAGCCATATTAATTCTTAAAGTGACCACTTGGTGGCAGTGACTGGTCTTTCAATTGTAAACAAAGGTGGGTATACAGTATATAAAGTATGATGCATTAGCATGTGCATGAGAAAGTAACTGTAAGAAATTTAATATTTTTGTTATTTTGATTAACATATCTATTAAGTATATATTTATTTATGCCATATATACATGTTTATAGTATTTACATTATGATCATAACTACTGGCAGTCACTATAGTGGTTTTATAACTCAAAAATAATCCCTTCTCCATCTACGGACAATCAGCTATAACAGACCCCCCCCTATTAGACCATTGACGTGAGGTTTGTCTGTACTTTTATAATAAATATTTTTTTTTAAGATTTGTTTCTTGAGATAAAAAAACAAATGAATAAAGCCAGTTTTATATGTTTGGGTTTCATTAAAATTCTAAGCCATTTGACAGGGTTTGGCATGCTAGTCTTCTTCATAAATTGAAAGGTTATGGTATTTCTGAACAAATTCTTGATCAGATTCAATTTTACCAAATTTCGAAACGAAAGTTGTCTTTAATGGCCACTCTTCTAGATCTTTTTTCATTAATGCAGGTATCCTTTAGAACTATCTTTGGGCCTACATTGTTACTAATTCTTAATGTCATCAGTCCTCAATTCAGTATCTATGCTGATGACGACTATTTACTCCTCTCTTAATAGTAAGTCTGAGCGGTCAAATTAGCAACTGATTTAAAAAATGACCTACAAACTGTTAACTGAGTCAATTTTGTTAATTTTAGTGCCTCCAAAATGAAACTGCTCTCTTTTAATCTTTTTTTGCCTTCCATCAGAATGGCTGATGCTAACTTTCAAGAAAGTGGATCAGTGTGCTTTCTCTGGCTAAAGTCTTCTGCTGATATGAAGTGAAAAGATTATAGTGAACCAGTTGTGAGCAGTGGCAATTCCGTAACTCTGAAAATGGAAGGGCCACTTGGGGGGAGCCGAGATTTTTCTGTGGAGGATGGGGGAGGGGGTAAATTCAAGCAGCATCTTTATTTTCATACTACATGACTATCGTATACACAACTTAGAATGAGTTTTAGTATAAATATGTTACTTCACGAAATTAAATGGAATAACTTTTCATTCATAGTAGTGGAGTTCTAATCTATTCTTACCATCTTTTCCACTCTCAAGCTGTTGGACCACAAGAGAGGTTAACTTCAAAACAAAATTGAAAGGGTTAATACTAACCTAGCAGAACAGTGTAATTTGTCTGCTCTGATTTTTTCCTCTACAAAACTTACAAAAGTAAGGGGCCCAACTGAGGGTCCAGCCAAAATGGGGGGAGAGGTACACTGGCCTCTTCTGCAGTCCCTCCCTCTTATAAAATCGCCACTGGTTGTGATGTCTACTGCTAGGAAAGTTGGTTCACTGGGTCATGCTAGATAATTTTTCCTTGCCAGAATCTGACACATTTATAAGTTTACCATTTGCCCATGCATTGAATATTGCTGTCACATCTGGTCTGGTGCTTCTGCTATATAATTAAAGATTATTGATAAAATCCAAAGTAGAATCTGCAATGTTATTTGTCATGACATGGCATCTTGGCTTCAGTCACTTTCCCACCACCATAACATAGCTTCCCTGTGATTGTCTATAAATATTGTCTTGGTAATTGTTCTGATGATTGTGGTAACAACCAAAACTAAAAACTACAGCCAAATTTTGAAAATATACACAAAATGAGGGATTTTTTTTTGATTTTTTTTAATAAGAAATAAAGAAAAAAATCCTGACCATTTCCCAACTGGCAGAGTCCAGATCCATTTTCCATATCGACTTCTTCACTGCTGGACTTGGAACCAAACAGATATCGCTTCCGACTAAAGAAAAGAAACAAAAAAAAGAATACTATTTACCTGCATTTTAACACCTTTATATATCAATTCAAAGTCACAATTCATAAGTTATTAAAACTGTCTTTTTAACTTGTTCCTTCAAATGACTTTGTGAATTAAGAGTTCATTAGTTATATCAGGTTTTCAAAACAAAAGGAATCAAATTTAACATTGTTATGGCTGCTATTAAATGTTAAAATGACATCAATATCACAGTATGTGCACAAAAAAAAAAATAGACAAAAAGTACCTCGGATCCAGATTATACAAGGGAAAAAATATTTACATGAGCACATGTTTTTTTATTTTCTTCCAATATTTTTCCTGCTTTGGACATAGATACAAGAATGTGTTTCTAATGAGGTTCAAGGGAGAAAACTTATTTTCTCATTACCTATTTATATTTCTAAGATGAGGTAGTGTAACTATTTACACTATTTGGACTGTCCTCATCTTTATTTATTTATTACACAACATTTCTGCCAATACACACACTGGCCTACTTCAAGGTTTGTCTATATTTCTGAGATGAGGTATTGTAACTATTTACACCAAGGATGGCCAACCTGTGACACATGTGCCATAAGTGGTGCATTGGATGCTTACAAGTGGCGCATTGCATCCTTTTGATGAAAAGAAACTAAGCCACTTTTACTCATTCATTTCAGTGATTTTATATTTACTGCATGTCCTTTGCAAAAGTGCTAAAAGTTTGATTTGTGTTTGTCCCATTTCCTTTTATTAAAAATACTGACGTGGTCCTTTTGGGTGACTGAGTGCTTAACTGGTAGACTGGATTGTGTTCTAAAATATTTGTCATTCTTTATCACTGCATTGGAGAGAGGGTTTGTGTCTAGATTTCGTTAACTTAAGGTAAGAATAATTTCATGATTTACATTTCGCTGAATCGTAGATTCAATATTATGAGTGCCTATACTAATTAGAGTCAGCATTATACCAGCTTTGTAATGTTGAGAGATTTATGACTGACATTATGATTAGGCCTACGTGTAAATTGTGTATAATATATATAATGTGCAGCTAGTAGAAATTCTATGACTATAATTAATTACACATAGCTTTTAAGTGCATTAACATTAGGAATATGTATTTATTTTATTTGCAGTCAAAAACTGCTCAAAATCTGTTGATCCGGTGTTAATCCGTTGATCCAGTGTTATATCTGTTGATTTGCTGTTGATTGATTAGATTTTATTATACCTTTAAAATATGTCCATATTACAACACGTACTGAAAGGAAGTGAATGTTTGTGTGGCGCATTTAAATTAATCGTACAAAATAGTGACGCATAGAATCAAAAGGTTGGCCACCCCTGATTTACACGATTTACATTGTTCAGACTTGTCCTCTTTTTTATTCATGACATGGTCCAGTGGATAAAAGTGTTGGTTGAAGTAATCCAGGGACTTAATGCAGAGAGTTGTGATTTCAATACCTGGCCACAGCAGAGGTGAAAAAAAAACTTGGAGAGTTAAGTTACTAAAAAGAAAAAAAAAAGGGAGCTAGGCACATGGAACTACAACAATATACTTTTTTGTGGATGAAATAATGGGTTTGATTCAAACTTCCATACACCTGAAGAAGACCAGGGTGTACAATGGCTGAAACATCACGAATATGACCACAAAGATGAAGACAGTCCAAACAATGTAAAGAGTGTAAATAGATAGATGTATTTCTGAGATGAGTTGTTGTTACACTGTTTGAATCATTGTAATCATCTTGGTTGTTATATTCATGGACACATTGCCTAGAGGATAAATACTGGTTGAAGTAATCTAGTGACTTGACCCAAAGAGTTGTGAGTTCAGTACAAAAACTTGGAGAGTTGAGTTACTAAAAGGGAGATAAGTGAACATGATACATGTACTGGGACGATAACCCATGCAATAAACTCTTTGCAATTCAGAAGCTAATGAAACAAATCCACACTTATGACACACTAAACTGATACTACAGTACAATGTAAAAAATAAAATGCCCAACTAACCCAGCTTAGTGCAGTACCTTTGAACCAAATTACTGTGATCTATTCTGACAAAAAGGTAATGCGATACAATCCTATGGACTCAGGAAGAAATTCATTGCTGAAGAGTTAGGCACCACACCCTCAAATATGCAAGAAATGACTGCAGCCAGTATTCCATCATGGACTATCAAGCAACCTGAAGTTCTACTAGAATTACATAATCTCACAAAACAAAACATGCACCCACTCACATTCCAGGATAAGTTTCAGGAGATATTGGCAAACTTTCCTCACCATACATCCATCTATACAGACGGGTCAAAATGTGAGGACAAGATAGGATGTGCAGCAGTGAACCAAAATATTACCAAAAACCTCCCAAAAGAAAACTATTTTCACTGCAGAGTCTTATGCAATTGAGCTAGCTCTCAACATTATCTCAGAGAGCAAATAAAAAAAATTTTCTAATTTTTTCGGACTCACTATCTATTGGCTTTGAAGAAAAAAAAATTCAACAACCTACTTATTATGAAAATATTATGCCAAATGAGTACTATTAACAAGCATAAAGACATCAAACTATGGATGGAGTTAACGGTTATAATGAAGTAGATCTAGCAATCAAGTTGGCTTCAGGTGCGATTGTGGATAGAAAAACCAAAATCCCATTTTAAGGTGGTTATTAATAAATACATTCAAAAGGAATAGCAATGGTACTGGGGCCCACGCAATAAACTCTTCATAATTCAGCCCAAACTAGGAGAATGGAAGTCAGCTCCCAGAAAATCTCACAAGGAAGAACTGGTAACTGGCCCTTGTACACAGTGGCCATGTAAGAATAACCCACTTGTACTTACAAAACAAAGATCAACCAGTATGCCAGGCATGTAAAACAGCATATAATATTAAACATATATTAACTGAATGCTCAGATCTTGCTCTTTCAAGACAAAAATATTAGAATATAAAGAATATGTATGAGTTATTCTAGAAAGTAAAAATGGATGATATCATCATTTCTCTAAAGAGTAGAACACTGCCAAAGATTATAAACCAAATGAAAATGCCAAAATCAATTTCTAGACAAACCATGTATTGGAAAAGAATACATCAATGAAACCAGACTCTTGTCAACAACCCTCTTTACAAAAAATATATCAATGAAACTGGATCTACAAACAGTTTCCTTACAAAGAATGTATATTCTATTCACATGAATCCTTTGTAAAAATCTTGTCATTAAATAACCCACTAAGGTTGATATACCATAAAAGAAACCTAACCAAACCATGACCTTTTGACCATAGTATGCTCTGGCTTTCATCAGGTAATTGGAATTTCCAACTGAATTCTTTATTTCATCCACCAGGGCAGACTGATCTAGTTCCACGTTCCATGCCTCTTCTGGATGTCTCAGTTTAACTCAACTCTCTAAGTTTCTGTTCCTCTGCAGTAGCCAAGGCTATTGAACTCTTTGGGTTAAGTCACTGGATTACTTCAACTAATGCTTTCATACACTGGGTCATGTATTCTTCAGGACACATGGTCCAGTGGATAAAAGTGTTAGTTGGATCCAGGTTGACAAAATAAAAGGTTCAGTTCGTAATTCCAACGTAAATCACCTGAAGAAGGCCAGCACATACAATGAACAAAATGTCATGAATATGACAATAAAGATGAGGACAGGATTCTTAACAATGTAAATAGTATTAAATATATCCTCAAACAATCATTTTTAAGTATTGTACATATAATAATCTCATTTTATATATATATATATGAAGAAATTTTGAAAAAACAAACAAAAATCCTTAAATGTAGTTAAATGAAACTGAAATGTTTTTAAAAATTTTCAGTTTATCCTTTTCAAACAATATTCATCAAAAATACAATTCATTCAATTTGTCAAATTGAACTGAATTGTACAAGATGAATATTGTCTTGAAAAAGGTTTAATAAACTGAAAAGTTTTAAAAATTTTTCATTTTCTTTCATTTAACTACATTTAAGGATTTTTGTTTGTTTTTTCAAAATTTCTTCATTCTGTCGGATTTATATCCATTTATTATTTGCTTATATATATATATATATATATATATATATATATATATATATATATATATATATATATATATATCTCCCCAGGTAAAATGAGAACAAGTGGAGTATAATTCCACTCTCTGTAACATTTAATTTAAAAGTGGGCTATATATATATAATAATGGACTCTCCCGTTGGTTTCACCGTATGAGGATCTGTCAACTTAATTGATTCAGTTAATTTTGTGCAATAATCTTAAGTGGTACTTAAGACCTGCTAGCGATTTACAAAGGAGGCAGCATATAGAGCAAGAGTAAGGAATGTGGGATGAGGTCACTGTTAGATTGGCTGACCTTTTAGATCATGCTATTGCTTCTTGAAGATAATTCAGACAAGCTGATTGAAAACTGCTGAATCCACTAAAACACATTGATCTCTATTCTACCCGCTCCAAGACTTATATATATATATATATATATATATATATATATATATATATATATATATGTTAGTCTCATTTATTTATAACAGTTGCCTAAATTTCAGATCACAACTTTTTTTTTTATTTGCTTGTTTATGTGCAAAATATATAGTGTGTGATAGAGAGATTTATTGACACCAAAAACTCAATGAAATAAATTTCAAGAGAAAACAAAATATCAAAATTAATTTCTTAATTATCAAATTTTATCTTTTTCCTACCACTTCCAAATATTTAGTTTATTAGTGCAAAAAAAAATACTGAGTGGAGCAGCAAATTTGAAACCCGTGTACTGTATAACAAATATTCAAAGTTAAAGCCTTCCATAGGTCAATTTTATTCCCAACATTCACTATTGTAGGTCATTTTACCTAGTCTGACTTGAAATGGTATTTAGTCAAATGACATTGTTATTGTTGGTACAGTAAAAGAAATTACCAGGAAGTACCAGCAGCATTTGTTGGTACCAGCTAATTCATCATGCTTAAATATGTCTCTGCACACTTGTATCATTAACCAATATTTAATGGATAGTGGCTTAGAATGAAAGTCGGAGAACAGACAGAACCCAAATTTGTATCATGAACCGAATGTGCGGATGATGTAATGGATAGTGGCTTAGAATGAAAGTCGGAGAACAGACAGAACCCAAATTTGTATCATGAACCGAATGTGCGGATGATGTAATGGATAGTGGCTTAGAATGAAAGTCGGAGAACAGACAGAACCCAAATTTGTATCATGAACCGAATGTGCGGATGATGTAATGGATAGTGGCTTAGAATGAGAAGTCTAAAAACTGAGTTCAAATTCCGCTCTGGTTCATGTGCAAATACCAGTTGAATAGATATGAATCAATCTTACTCCCACCAACTGTAGATTAAATAGTAGGGCTCTGTTTCTATATTACTATACATGTTATCATTAAAGTAAATTAATTTTGACATATTTGTCAAATAAAATCTTCCCATGATTGAATGTGCAATTGAAACAATTCATTTAAAAAAAAAAGAAAGAAAAGGAAACAATAAACAAAATAATTTCATACCTAGCAGAATCAATAACAAAGCAGAAAAAGTTTGTGTGACGCATTTCAACTTTTAGGACTTCAAACTAAAGTGATGTTTGTGTCGATCTGCCTACACATGCACATGAAGAAGAGGGGACACTGAAAATTTTAAATTTAAATTAAAAAAATTTTTTTTAAAAAAAAAAAAAAAAAAAATTGGGGGGTATGTAATCTAACTGATTTCATTTAGTTTTGTTTTCTTTGTTTTTTATCATTTTATTATTAAACATCCCACATTGTGAAAATACAATATCTACCAAGAAAGGTGAACAGTTGTAAGAATGAAGATGTAAATTTACTGTGGATGATCGCGTCAGACAAAAACTTTTTCCACTTTGTCATATTTACCTATAATTTGTTCTTGAAAACAAATATATATATCGTTTTCACATACCTAGCAGTAAGAATTCCATGGTATTCCTCAAGTTGGGCTATGAATGCTTTGTTTGGGCGGATGACATTGCGTTTGTTTTTAACAAAATTAAAAGCCTCCTGGAATGAGCAGCCATCTTCCTTCATCTTAAAGGCAATAACCTGGAATATGAAAATGAAAGTGGAAGATACAAAAAGAAAATGTCTCCTGAGGGAATGCATCTGACCATTTGATAGTCACTGTTATACTGGATCATAGTTTTGCTAATTTCTAAAATTGTTTTCTTTTTATATTATTATTATTTTTTAAATACCTCTGTGATACTAAGGACACCTACATAAAAAGGAAAGAGGTGGTTTTATCTTGATCTCAAGTATTTGTGTTCGATAGACCAACAAATGGTTCCTTTTGAAGTTCAGTCTTCTAAGCAGCTAGCATCATGGTTATCAGCAAGCCAAGTCTTACCTCTCAGGAGGGGACGCAGCCGGCATATCCCAAGCTCCACCAACATGGCAAAACAATACTCTTGACCAAACATTCTCTGATTGTTGTGGCTGTGAAAATTCAATCAAATCCTCATCTCCAAGACATCATGTTCATTTGAAACCATAAGATATGACTAATTGTGCTTTATTCAAATCTCTTGGATAAACATCAATCTGAAGATTTCTTTTTGATGTGACCAGAACCTGTTGAGCATCACTTTGGACATCTGCCCAAACTGATAAAGAATAGAACTCCCAAATAGTTACTAAAAAAATACACAGTATTTGCTCAATATCACAACATTGCAACAATATAGGCAATGTGGTGAGTGTGATACTACGGACACGCACACAGTAAGGGAAGAGGTGGTTTTATCTTGATCTCAAGTGTTTGTGTTCAATAGACCAGCAAATATTTTTTTCTGGAGTTTGATCTTATAAGCAGCATCCATTTTAATCGAAAGGGAATGGGAAGTAAAGGAATTTTTGGAGATTAAGTAACAACAAAACTAGCAATAATCAGGGTGTTGGTCTATATTAACAGTAATGCTTGAGATCGGGGAGAGTTATGGACTGCCCTTGATGAGAGACATGTGATTTCAAAGCCTTCATTTTGTATTACCAGCTACTTATCAGGATGACTAGATGGGCAAGGAGCTGGTAGGGGGAAGAGCTGACATAGCTGAAGTCGTCCCAAGTAACATATACTGGACAAGCAGGGGAAGACCTAAATAAAGCACATGATAGACATATTAAAAAAAAAAAAAATGTTTTCCGATTTTTTAAAGATCAATGAGAGGGATATTTTTTATTGTGGGTGTTAATCATTTCCTCCCCCTCCACTCCCAACAAGACTGATATATTGTCAAACCATCAGATAAAGTAGAAAGACAAAATACTCACTGTTGAGGCTGATCGGCTGATGCCCATCTTACAGTGAACTAAAACTTTACCATTATTTTCCCTGAATCAAAGTAGAAATAATTTTAAATTGAAATTAAGCAAAACAAAAAATTAAATTGCAATTAAATAAAATATAAAATTTAAGAAATTGACAAAAACTAGACATCCATGCACTAATTTGTACTGGGAGGATTATTTATATATATTATATAAATCCAAATACTAATATTGTTGTTACCATTTTATATACCTACCAAAAATAACTACTACTATTAACACATCAATAACTATTATTGCCAATTATAATATCAATTATTAACACTATCAACATAGTCACAATCATCAATAATACAAAAGCAGTCGGCGTTGAAAATACCAAACATCATCATCACCATGTCCACAAACAGAACCAACTTAACAAAAATAGTGATGAAAGGCCCAGACCAATAGGCGAAGACATCTACATGTGTGAGTGAGGAAATGTAAGATTGTTTTGCAATTTGAAAAGAGTTAAGAACACCCCAACCTGCCCCTTGTTGAAAGAACATCGCTACATACAGTCTCAACATCAAAATAGAATTACAATTGCATATGTATGTATGTATGCTCAAATGCATGGATATGTAACTGCGCCTAATCTCGATTGTTTATATGGGTGTGTTCATGTGAACTAAAATGTGTACACCTGTATGTATATATGTCTGAGTGTGTGAGAGTGTCATCCCAAACGAACAAAGTGGAGAATTTCCCCCTCCCACCAACAAATACAATCAAACACAAACAAGCATAAATAGATTTAATTTTTAAAAAATAAACCAGTTTGTCTGATGACAAAAGCATGAAACCTAGGGTCATAAACTCATATCCATACAACTGTGTGTGTGTGTGTGTGTATATATATATATATATATATATATATATATATACATACACACACCTAGCATGCCGCATCTTTTCTTTAATAAGATTTGTGAAATATTCCAGTCAGTAGATAAAAATAAATACATACATATAAATGGACATTGAGGTTAACGCCCAGCAGCAACAGTCTGTTTCATGCTTAAACACAATCTTCAGGTCATTTACATACACTCTATCCCTGATATTGAGCACTTTTACCCATAAATATAGCATACCTTAAATATATTTATATATATATATATGGCATATGAAAAATACTTTTACAAACATTGGGGGAAGGTTCCTCACACCAAAACAAGGACAAAAGTCCATATAAACATGTGTCTGGAAATCCTTCGTTTTTGAGTTAAGTTTAAAGAAAACCTCACATCCCTTAGAATATGAATAAAGAAAAAAAAAGACAATAGGAAAACTGCATGTAGTTTTAGCCAACATGTTTTGTCCACCACAAACTTTATCAAGGCAAAGAACAAAATGAATTTATTTGAAGAAAATATCTATAAACAAAAAAAACATGTTGATAGTTACGAGGAGAATTTAGAAATGCTCATATATATTCATTGGTCAACTGAAAAATTACATCATTTATTTTTGTTTGAAGAGAATTTTTCATATGCAGAATTATTGTTTGGATTGTTGTGATGATGGATTCAACAGTTTTCTTTTGATTTATTGATATAGTTTGTTGTGTATGTTGGCTTGGGAGAGTTGTGAAAGGTGAGACAAAACACTAAAATACATAGTTTTCCAATTGTCTTCTTTTCCTTCATTCATATTGTCCTTTTCTACAGATTAATTCTGAGTGTGTGTGTGTATATATATATATATATATATATATATATATATAGTTACATCAATAAGTTGTAGTCTCAAGATAAAAAATGGATTTTATACAATCTCCTTCCTTTTTTGTGCCTTCAATTCAGTGAATAATATAGTTAATTTATAGTGAACATTATGCAAGGAAAATTTCTAGTGGTAACAGATGCAGGAGTGGTAACAGATGACAATTTTAGAGGAAATCAGAAGCAGAGAGTAATAAATGGAAGGAAAACAAAGGAAGCAAATGAAAGTGAGCAGGAGAAACAAACATTCGTCGGGCAGGAATTATGAGTGGGTAGGGAAAAAAAAACAAACAAACAAGTGGAGAGGAAATCAGGAGTGGACAGGGGAAACAAACAGCCACATGGGAGGAAATCAGGAGTGGGCAGAGAAAACAAACAGCCACATGGGAGGAAATCAGGAGTGGGCAGAGAAAACAAACAGCCACATGGGAGGAAATTTGGTATGGGCAGGGGAAACGAACATCCAGGAGGAAGAAAATCAGGAGGGGGAAGAACAAAAGCTTTGTGGGATGAGTAAGTAGGAACAAACGACCATACATTGATTTACTGATTGGCAGGACAATTTTTTTTTCTACAGAGGGATTCGCTGATTGGCAGCCTTGACAATGAGTTTAGGTTTCTAATATTGACTGTATTTGTTAGGAAACAGCAGACATATAAAATTTTCTGATGTGAACAAACATTTTATTTTCTTCTGAAGTAAAGAATAATAATATCAGTTTTTCAAAGATCAACTCACTTGACTTTTTTAATAAACTCATAAGTTCGTTTCCAGTGTTTCATGAGATCAGATTGTTCATTATCAAATTCTCGAACGTTCATGTAGTGGTATTTTTCAGGAAAAAAATTGTCTATCTCCCTTGAGACATTCAGGATGTACTTGACTCTAAAATTAAACAAGTTGGAAAAAAAAGAATGTTAAAAAACAAAATGTTTACAATATTATTAATTAAAACTCGCAACCATTGATATACAAATTATCTTTAGATGTATTCACAATTCTTGATAGCTGATAATATTAAAGAACATTAATTTTCCAAGGAGAAAAGAGCCTGTTGACTTTTTATATAAAAAGCAGAACCACTAATTTCTCCTTTGAGAATAACAACATCACTAACAATTTCTTTTCCGTGATCACTAAATGCATTTTAACAGTGTGGGTGGAAGCCAAGTGCTTTTAAGAGCATGGTAGTGGGTAGATTAAAAAGCCTCTACCATTTTTCATAGCAGGGAAGGAAAGAAGAGAATGACTGCTTTTTACCAGCAGGGGAGGGTGAAAAGCATGGCCACCGACTGAATTTTCACAGTAGGGGAGGGTGAACAACATGATCACCAAATGTTTTTCACAGTAGCAGAGGCTGAAAAGCATGGCCACCAAATGCTTTTTTAGATTAGGAGAGGCTGAAAAGTATGACCAATGAATGTTTTTTCACAGTAGGGGAGGGTGAAAAGCATGGCCACCAACTGCATTTTCACAGTAGGGGAGGGTGAAAAGCATGGCCACCAACTGCATTTTCACAGTAGGGGAGGCTGAAAAGCATGGCCACCAACTGCATTTTCACAGTAGGGGAGGCTGAAAAGCATGGCCACCAACTGCATTTTCACAGTAGGGAGGCTGAAAAGCATGGCCACCAACTGCATTTTCACAGTAGGGGAGGCTGAAAAGCATGGCCACCAACTGCATTTTCACAGTAGGGGAGGCTGAAAAGCATGGCCACCAACTGCATTTTCACAGTAGGGGAGGCTGAAAAGCATGGCCACCAACTGCATTTTCACAGTAGGGGAGGCTGAAAAGCATGGCCACCAACTGCATTTTTACAGTAGGAGAGGCTGAAAAGCATGGCCAACAACTGCATTTTTACAGTAGGGGAGGCTGAAAAGCATGGCCAACAACTGCATTTTTACAATAGTGGGGGATGAAAAGCATGGCCACCACCAACTGCATTTTCACAGTAGGGGAGGGTGTAAAGCATGGCCACCGACTGCATTTTTACAATAGTGGAGGATGAAAAGTAAGGCCACCAAATGCTTTTTCACAGTTGGCATGAGTGAAGAGCATGGCCACTGAATGCTTTTTAGCAGTAGTTGAGTGTGAAAAGCATGGCCACCAATCCTTTTTTTTTACAGTACAGGTGTGTAAAAAGCATGGTCACCGAATGCTTTTTCATAGTAGTGAAGATTGAAAAGCATACCAACTTGTTTTCTTCCCCAGTGGGGGTAATGTATAGTGACTTTCAAATAATTCAAGATGATAACTAGATAGTAAAAACAAAAATGGCATGTAAAAAAAAAAATTGGATTCAGAAGATAGGTATAGGCTTCCATAGCTGAATTGATAAAGGTGCCATCTATGGCAGAAAAAAAAAAAAAAAAAAAAAAAGATTGGGAGAATTGTGATAAAAAGCAAGAATAAAACAAAAAAAAAAATACCTCAAAATTATAATTGAAAATGCTTTATCTAAAAATCCAATTTAAGGGATCTTACTTAACCCCTTAGCATTCAATATACTTAAACCTGCCTTGTTAATACCAGCTCTGAATGTTGAATGTTCAATCTGCTGTAACCTGCCATAATATATGACAACACCATCAAAAATAACACAGGAAGTTACATGAGTCTTTGAGAGCTGATATTTATAGGGCAGGCTTGAGTGTGTTGGATCGTGAAATGTTAAGTGACAAAGGAAAGTGAATCAACATTTCCTTTATCTAAATTGGAAAACAAAAATACTGTGAAGTACATTTATAAGCAGAAGCTTATCCATGTTAAAAAAAATCAGTGATATGCTTTTATGTCTATAAAATTCTTTTTCAGGAAAAATAAATATCAATATTAGTGTGTGTGTGTATATTTATATCTCTCTCTATATATATTATATATAACCTTTTGAACCAGAAATCTGAGTGTCTCGAGTCCTTGGATATATATTAAGAAATCCTCTTAAGCAGATATGAGGCTGGATAAAAAAAACATATTTCAATTAACCCTCCAGTGATATTTTTTATAATAGACTTGCTTTTCTTCTCTTCCCCTTCCTTCTTCACATCCTTTCCATTACATCCAACATTAGTTTTTTTTTTATAAAAATAAAGCATTAAGAGGTCATTTGATAAAAACTGCCTGAGGATATAAGATTGAAACTAAGGTAGGGGATTCAACTGATCTCCTGATTTTATATATATATATATATATATATATATATATATATATATATATATATATATATATATGTATGCCCTGAAAAATTAATTTCGGGTTGAGCTCTGGAGAGGAAGCATGAGTTTGTAAACAGTGACTATTATGGCTAATAATGCAAGACTTCAAGTAAAGTGAATTGAGTTCTCTCAGTCACTGTGTGTTTATCTAAAAATAAAAATGCTTAAATTCACCTTCATCCCTGCTTAGGGGTAGAATCTCCAACTGATGCCAATTCAGCCAGGTTTCAATCCTAGCCAGAGGCAACCGGACGTCTCGCCACACTGATGAGCTGTGATACAGCGAAACAGTCTGTCTGTGGATGACTATATATATATTCAATAATTAACAATAACAATTGCTGCACAGTTTCATGCCATTTACAATCTTCAGGCATGTAGTATTTTAGCCTAACACCATTTTTTTTTTTTAAATAATATTTCTGGCTTTCACAAGATATTTTATTGTTAGAGTAGATTATTATTGTTGTTAATTATTTAAATGAGTTGTAGTTTAATTTGGGATTTGAATTTAGGCCCGGATTAACATTTAATACTAAAAATAAGGTTGTAAATAAGAATTATAAATTCTAATTTAAAAAACAGACACTGATGTGTTGGAAGGAATAAACATTTGGAAATGCAAATCCAAAATTAAGCTACAACTCATTTAAATAATTAACAATAACAATCTACCGTAATAATAAAATATCTCGCAATAACTATAAATATTATATAAATAAAAACACTGTTAGGCTAAAATAATATGCACCTGAAGATTGCAAATGTCATGAAACTCTGAGTTGTGCAGCCATTGTAGGATATTATGTATAATTTTTAATATATTAAATAGCTTTGTTATTCAACATTGAGCACCGTTTTTAATTACACTATAGATTACATGTATATTTAGGCAGCATATCTTCCTTCAAGCATGTTTTATTGAAAAATATAAATATAGTATGTCTATTTTTTATAATAATCCTTTATACACTATTTACATTATTTAGACTATTGTCCTCATCTTTGTTGCCATATTTATCACAATGTTTTGGCTGTTGTACGTTCCGGCCTCCTTCAGGTGGTTGGAAAGTCGAACTGAACTCTTTATTTCGCTCGATGGAGTAGACTGAAGTAGGCCGGAGCATACAACAGCCGAAACGTTGTGATAAATATGGCAACAAAGATGAGGACAATAGTCTGAATAATGTAAATAGTGTACATAATACCTCATCTCAGAAATATAGATAAATAATCCTTTCTAGTTCTCTAATTAGCTTCTTGACTAAGTTGAAATTCATGAAGGAAGGTGCCATTTTTTGTTAACCCAAGTATTTTTGATCTCTTTCAAGATCATCCTCAGGAGTGAATTGTAAAGGCAAACTTAATGTAACTGTGATCGTTGTGATGTTAATTTTTGTAAACATGTGTGAACGCACTATGTTATAATTATTTTAAAATTAACCTTTTTAGCTATGGTATTTTTTTGTAAACAAGCATCCACAATATAAGGGAGCTAACCAGAGATGCTAAAAATGCAAATGGCATTAAATGTTGGTCAAATACATTTTAAAACATTGCTACTATACCCATAATAAATTTTTTTCAGTGTTGGTTGGTTGCTTTTGATATAGAGGGACTCGAGAAGTTAAAGTTTTTGTTTATTATTTTCATAGTGTAATATACTGGTGTTGTCAACAAGTATTTTCCTGTATTGTGAAAATGGACAGGAATGTGTATATATCCTGCTGACTTTGAATATCACTGATCATGCTTTATGTTATAACAATGCATTTTCTTATTAAGTACTGGGACCAGGATGTTTATCACTACTAGATAACAAACCACGGTTTCTACCAGAATGGTATCATCAGACAGTAAGTCTCCTGCCTGGTAGAAAGTGTGATAGTATAAGGTTAGTGCTTCAAATTTTTTAGGTCTTAAATAGCCCTACATTTTTGTTTTTTGAAAATTGAATTGAGAATTTTTTTAATTAAGCAGTTTATTTGGCAGATTTTTTTTTGTCAAAGGTTGAATTTTGTAAATTATATATATATATATATATATATATATGAATGCACGTTTCATTAAATAATATAGACAAGTTTTGTCTTTTTAAGAAAGACGAAAGGAAAACACCATATTGATACAAAGTAAGCTTTCGGCTTACATAAGCCATTATCAAAGATGACAATTTCAATAAATCAAACAACACACAGATGAACTACAATAATAGTCCGCCCATGCTGCTTGAATGAGCTCAAAGTAAGGACAAACTCGTATTTACAAGACAAGGAAGCAAAAATCGCGTGGCAGTTCGTGACATCAGACATGACCACGTGAGAGTGAAAAACAAGAAGTATTAAGTATGGGAAGCCGTTGGTATAAACCAATGGCTTCTGTTATAAATTATAGGCATTTAAGAATGTTTGTGGTGATTTCATAGTTTATTTTGTTCAGGTTAAGTTACAACTCAATGTAACGTTTACTCAATCAGTGAAATTAATTAGCTATTTTTGCCGTCATTCTCATAAATTTTACTTAAATAATATTTAAATATAATTAAAAAAAAAAAAATTGTTCCCTAATAAATGTGAAAATAATTCTATATACTGTAAGGGATTCTAATACATTTACTTGTTCTTAAAAGAAATATAGTATATTAAAAATTAAAAGTGAAAATATTTTTCAAATTGTAGTTAAATAAAACGTATTCTGACCTAAACACCCCCCCCCAAAATCTTTAAATATACAAATAGAAAAAAATGCCGTAACAATTTTTGCCGTTAACAATAAAATTTTAAAATATCCAGACGACATGCATTTAACGGATGTCAGATTTCATTGAAAAATACACCCCTACCTCTACCAAAACGTAACTAATAACTGATACATCAAAATACAGACATAATGAACATGCAAACACCCCTTGTCTGGTTGAATTGGATTTCTCGGTATCCTTGGAAACATGAATTATGATTTTTGCTGTGTCTTTAAAACCCAGCAGTTTTAAAAGTTACTCCAAAATTCGCTTGAGGATTAAATGGAAATAATGTCTTTAATTTAATTACAAAATTAAATTCGGAGCTTTCAGCTTCCATTTTTGAAACATGGTTAGAACTGTGTAGTGGAAAAAAAACATTTTAAATCAATTAATTTATAATATATATATATTTCAAGATCACTTACCCATTTTCTTCCAGTTCATCATAATTTGAAGCATTCCATTCTGAGCCAAGATAAAGATAGGGAAAAATTTTGGAAGGAGCATCCATCTGGCCCAGAATCCGCATCATCTCTTGATCTATATAGCTTTTATACTCAATTAGAGACATATTAAGAGAAGCCTCAAGAGAATTTCGTAACTGAAAAAAAAAATAAAAATATAAATTGATAAATTGATTTATCTGATATATTAAAAGAGTTCCTTCATTCATTTTGGCAAGGGTTTTGTAGGATTTTTTAAAAGAAATTACTTTTTTTAAAAGTATTTTTATCTTTACTATCTTATACTTTTTATCATTGTATTAGTGATTTTCCAAGCGTAGCTTGGATGTGGCACAAGGCCGAAAGTAAGAGGCACCCAATGAGGATCGAACTCACTACTCAGTTGTAATTGTTATAGCTAAGCAAGCTTGCTAACCATTACGCCACCTCGAGGTGCCCAAGTTATCTTCTAAGCATAGCTTAGACATGGCACAAGGCCAAGGTATGGGACACCTAGTGAAGATCGAACTCACTTTTCAGTCGTAACTGCTCTAGTGAGACAAGCTTGCTAACCATTACACCATGCCAAGGTGCCCAAAGTGATTTTCCAAGCATAGCTCAGATGTGGCACAAGGCCGAAAGAGGCACCCAGTGAGGATCAAACTCACTACTCAGTCGTAATTGATCTGACGAGACAAGCTTGCTAACCATTACACCACTTCGAGGTGCCTCCTTTTTTTTATCATTATACTAGAGAATGAAGTCAGGTCAGTATTGAACTTAGAACTTTTTAGCATTCTTTCATATATTCTAAGCTTCATTTGGAAAACTGCATTCCTTCGTGTTATGGATGATGTTACCACATTTTGGCTAATGCACTACAGAGTTAAATTTTGGGGGACAATTAATCACTTTCATGTTTTTATATTAATTTATTTTGGTTGATCTATTCTTCAATATTCATCATGTGTATAATTCTAAAAATAGGAAAAACTTTATTTTTTCAGAAAATAACAAAAGTTAAAAATGGTTATTAATATACCAAGTACTTCAGCAACTTCAGATACACAGATGAAACATTTTTTAATTTACACTATTTACACTGTTCAGGCTGTTGTCCTCATCTTTGTTACCATATTCACAATGTTTTGACCATTGTATGCTCTGGGCCTTCTTCAAGTGATTGGAATTTCCAACTGAACCCTTTATTTCGTCCACCAGGTTAGGTTGTTCTAATTCCACATGCCTTGCCTCTTCTGGATGTCTCAGTTATCTCCCCTTAACTCCTTTCAAAGTTTTTGTTCACTTCTGCAGTAACCAGGTATTGAACTCACAATTCTTTGGGTCAAGTAACTGGGTCCAAGCAATGCCTTTATCCACTGGGCCATGTGTCCTTAAAAATCCAACACTTTTATCCACATGGCCAAGTGGATAAAAGCACTGGTTGAAGTAATCCATTGACTTGACCTAAAGAGTTGTGAGTTCAATACCTGCCTATTGCAGAGGAACAAAAACTTGGAGAGTTAAAAGGAGATAATGGAGACATCCAGAAGAGGTATGGAATGTGGAACTAGATCAGTCTACCCTGGTGGATGAAATAAAGAATTCAGTTGGAAATTCCAATTACCTGATGAAAGCCAGAGCATACTATGGTGAAAAGGTCATGGTTTGGTTTGGTTTCTTTTAAGGTATATCAACCTTAGTGGGTTATTTAATGACAAGATTTTTACAAAAGATTCATATGAATAGAATATACATTCTTTGTAAGGAAACTGTTTGTAGATCCAGTTTCATTGATATACTTTTGTAAAGAGGGTTGTTGACAAGAGTCTGGTTTCATTGATGTATTCTTTTCCAATACATGGTTTGTCGAGAAATTGATTTTGGCATTTTCATTTGGTTTATAATCTTTGGCAGTGTTCTACTCTTTAGAGAAATGATGATATAGTTTGGGCTGAATTATGAAGAGTTTATTGCATGGGTTATCGCCCCAGTACCATTGCTATTCCTTTTGAATGTATTTATTAATAACCACCTTAAAATGGGATTTTGGTTTTTCTATCCACAATCGCACCTGAAGCCAACTTGATTGCTAGATCTACTTCATTATAACCATTAACTCCATCCATAGTTTGATGTCTTTATGCTTGTTAATAGTGCTCAATAGTAGATTGTTGAATTTTTTTTTCTTCAAAGCCAATAGGATAGATAGTGAGTCCAAAAAAATTAGAAAATTTTTTTCATTTGCTCTCTGAGATAATGTTGAGAGCTAGCTCAATTGCATAAGACTCTGCAGTGAAAATAGTTTTCTTTTGGGAGGTTTTTGGTAATATTTTGGTTCACTGCTGCACATCCTATCTTGTCCTCACATTTTGACCTGTCTGTATAGATGGATGTATGGTGAGGGAAGTTTGCCAATATCTCCTGAAACTTATCCTGGAATGTGAGTGGGTGCATGTTTTGTTTTGTGAGATTATGTAATTCTAGTAGAACTTCAGGTTGCTTGATAGTCCATGATGGAATACTGGCTGCAGTCATTTCTTGCATATTTGAGGGTGTGGTGCCTAACTCTTCAGCAATGAATTTCTTCCGGAGTCCATAGGGTTGTATCGCATTACCTTTTTGTCAGAATAGATCACAGTAATTTGGTTCAAAGGTACTGCACTAAGCTGGGTTAGTTGGGCATTTTATTTTTTGTATAGTACTGTAGTATCAGTTTAGTGTGTCATGAGTGTGGAGTTGTTTCATTAGCTTCTGTGTATACGCTCTTGATTGGGGATGTTCTAAAAGCCCCAAGTACTAATCTGAGGCCTTGATGATAGGTTGCATTGAGAATTTTTAGGTACGACTTCCTGGCCGCCCCATATACGTAGTGATCTGTATAATTTGATTAATATTAGTCGATCTTCTCCCCATTCAAAATGGGCTACTACTTGCAGGAGTTTTAGGGCTTTGCTACATTATGTTTTCAAATATTTTAAATGGAGAATGAACATTAATTTTTTTATCAAAGATAAAAACTTAGAAACTTGTGTTGTTGGGATTTCTGCTCCATCTAGTTTTAAACATGGATCATTGTGCAATTTTCTTAATTTGCAGAAATGTAGATATTTAGTTTGTGTTTTGAGAAATGTAAAACCATTTTCAGTGGCTCGTTTGTGTATTTTATTGAAACATTGTTATAGTTGTCTTTCAATGGTATTCATATGTCAAGATCTATACATAATTAGGAAATCAACATATAGAAAGATTCTCACTCCTAGGATTAAGATTTTAAATATGGAGTTAAATTTTACACTAAATAGCATCACTGAAAGAATGCTTACTTGTGGAAACACTTCTTGATCTTGCAGTTCCGATAGTGTAGTTCCTATATGGACTTGAAACCTCCAATCTTTCAGGAAATTCCATATGAATTGAATCAGCCTACTGGGGAATGCATTTTTTTGCTAAGATTTCACAAATGTGTAGACCAACAGACATAACATACACACTGTTTAATAAATAAAACCAGGGTGTCAATTTCAAATCTAAAGTATCCATTATAATAATGTTTGAAGTTATATATATATATATATATTTTTTTTTTTACCTCTTTACTAGTGGTTTCTTCGAGATCCATCGACATCATCAGTTCTCTGAGTTTTATACTAATTCTATTTTTCATACCATCAGTCTCAAGCCTGGAAAAAAAAAAGAAAGAAAAAAAAACATTGAATTAAAAGGCTTTTACCAATATTTTGACCCCATAAAATGGGGTTTTAATAGAGATGCCCATTAAAATAACTGTTGGAAAATTTATAATTTGGCAGAAGCAATTCCAATCATAAATGTTAATTCTATCTCCCATTCCAAAGGTTAATTGGGCGACATGCAGTACTTCCCTAATTATCTGAACACCTTGATACAAACATTGAAAAAATTCAAAATTCCAGATAACTGAACACTTAAATTATAAAAAAAGAATGAAGGAAAAAACAATTTCTGAAAGAAATTTAACCTGAACCATTCTGCATTATTAATATTACTTCCCTTTCTGCAGCATTCTTTTTTTAAGGCCTCTCAATTGCAGTATCCTTATTGTTAATTTTGCTCAAAGTTGTTTTCTGTTGTCATTGCAGGATATGACAACTATGAAATCTACTTTATTGTTCAGGGATCAGTGTCACCTTCAGTGGCAGGATAAATTTTTGTACAGTAAATGAAGTCACATACAGAGTGATAAAGGTTTAACATTTATATCAAATAACATTTTTAAATGCTTTGTTCAAGATTTTGTCCAGTTTATTTTTTTATGAAAAATATGTGTCAATTTTTGTCTGTTTCTGACTGGCATCCCAATTTTATGTTGCTATCTCCTAAAGTAGGTGTATTTACCAGGTTGCCAAAAGTTTTTTTTTTTTCAGATTTTCACTGATGTATCTCCATGTTATATCATTAATTTGATACAATTTGTTGTTCAATCATTGCTGAATTGTTTCGTTACTTTTGATAGAACATATAAACATTGTTTATTCTTTATTTTGCAGATTTGGTAATAAGTAGTTTAAAAAAATCACAATTAGAGCTATTTTACGCTGTCTGTGGAAGAAAAGATTTATTACAAAGGCAGTGTCAAAAGAAATTGATGTGGCAGGCCCAGGAACTATCATTGAACATGTGGCACAAAACTGATTCAGATGTTTTAAGGAAGGTGACACAAATCTTGAAGACAAACCAAGATGAAATGGTTGAACAACAGCCAAGCACATGTACTTCTACATTGTCTGTAGAACTTGGTTCTTCACAAAGCACCATCAATCAACATCACCATAGGATTGTGAACAGATGCTATCAAGAAGTTCTTCTGGAGGGGTAAAATAGTTATAGAATGGTGGTTTAGCATTGAGATCACCCACTATTATATGTCATCTACCAGTGTTCCTATCGGAAAGAAAATGGCGACTTACCTCGTCAAACCAAGTGACATCATGTCATGTGTATCCTATGATGAAAAATGTGGCAAAAAAAAAAATTACTTACCAAAAAAAAAAAAAGGACACGTATTCTGCATGACATGCTGAAGATGGGATATTTAGATTAGAAACAAGTCAGTCACAGGAGTCGCCATAAAAGTATTTTGATATGCTAAAATTGGGCGTACTCTCCCAGTTGTTGACAAAAAATGCTCGGCCGATGAATGCAGTTGGTGTTCTCAAATCAGGGGGAAAAAGAAAAATTAGCGTGTTTTGGCTACCGTATTTGTTGGAGAGTGTGTTATTTTTCTGACTGGTTACGTGCATTGTGATTTGTATGATAGTACCTGTGAATCGAGTTTTCGACATTTCTTTCTGTCCCCGATGTTCGAGGCTGAACTTAGAGTGATTTATTCTCTGTGTTGTGGAAGTAATCTGCACCAATTATTTCCTGTGCAATCCCAGATCACTTACAGTTCATATATTTTGTGATGATGAAACAAAATTCAGGGAGAACCTGCTTCATGCTTTTTGCACAATATAAATGCCATATCACCGTAAACATATTTGAACAGTTCACTGCTTCCAATTTTTATCCTGATAACCATTATTCTACTCTGCATTACATTATGAATATGCAGGCAACATCACATTATAAAGCACTGCTGTTGATGTCAGAAATGTATCATTGGCAGGATAAACAGAGAGGGAGAGTTGAGTTGGTGTATTTTATGACACATCAACCCTTGGGTCATTTCATGTCAAAATCTGTTTCTTTCATTATACTTGAGACTACATGCAAATGCTGGTCCAGTTTATACTTGAGGCTTGTAGTATTTATGCAGAAAGTGGCCTGCAGGTAATGCAGTTGGTATATTCTAAATCTCAGCAACAAGGCAACAGGAGAGCAAGAAATATGAACAGAGCATGACTTAAGACTTATCTATTGATAGAAAAGTAAGTAAATACTTACTCTTGTTTTTCAGAAGAATAAGGAGAATCAGCAGCATACGATTCAATATCTTCCATCAAATTCCTGCAAAAGAAGATAGGTAACACCAAACATTATATATATATATAAAACTGGAAGTCAAAATGGTTACAACTGAAAGGGAAGAGAGAAAAGGTTAAGAAGTGATTGTAAAGAGAATAAAAACAATGAAAATGACAAATGATCACAACACTTTACAGGTGCGCACAGGCACACACACTATAAAAGAAACCTCAAAAAAACAAAAAAACAACATGCACCAATGAAAAGAGCATATAAAAAAGAAAAATTGAGAAGTATAAGCTGTCAATTGCTGATACCCCTGACGAGTGAACGGAGTGATTCCTGGAAGGTCCGTCTATGAAACTATAGAGTCTGGATGCTGAAAATAACATCAATCAGCTAAGTGACAAAACACATATTCCAGTGTAAAATATATATATATATATATATATATATATATATATATATCCTGCGGAGCTATGTAAAGTACCAAGTTGAGAACTGGCATGGGCTAACTGCCCTTGATGAGAATGAAAGGAGTCTCTCTGAGCTTTGGTTAGCAATCCTTTTAGTGTTGGTTTAACAATAAAAAGACTTCAAATGGGAAGGAAAACTCATGACAGCTTAACCCAGTCATTATATTGCATGTGTCTGCCAAGAGGCGTGTATTGGCTGATATTGACTGTAATCCAGAGAGGTTAAACTCTGTGATAATAACATGAGGACTGTTGTTTGGAGTATCTGTGCCAAGTCTTTTGCACTGTTACTTTTTTATTGACAGATTCAAACAGTGTGGATGGTCCGACACAAGCCTTCACCACTTAAAACAAATCATTGTGTTGGTTTTCTGACAACTACATCTAATTAGTTTCACACATATCCAGCTATTGCAAAAAACTCTACGAGACATCAACTTGAATGTACGAACTCTCCAGGACAACAATTCAGCACCAGAAAGAAAAAAAGCTCAGGTTGCATTGGAGCTAAAGAAGTACAACATTGATATAGGTGCACTGAGAAGTAAACCTCAGTTGACATGAGAAAGCAAAATAAGACTTATCTAACAGTGTTTCTGCTGCACTTGGATACAATACATTCTCCTGTACTGTTTGTGGTCTTTTGTGCAATTCTCCAGCCGGTCTCAAAAGTCGTGCTCGTCATAGGCATGCAGATAATTAGTTTGTGATTGTCGGAACCTCATACATCGAACTCAACGGGAGAATCATCATATATTGCGTATTTAGGCAGCAATCCCTCTTTTATGCAAGTTTCATTAAAGATGACAGACAAGGTACTGTGATTAAGGTTTTTTATTTAAGTTTCTTTGTGTTCAAACAAGTGTTTTCTTTTCTGGACACAGAGTGTGTAGAAACTGTCCAAATGTTCTGTAATTTTGAGCACTTTTGACTATACTTTTAACCATTATCAAGGATAATTTTAGTTTTTAACTGGATGTATGGGTTGTGTGTAGGTATCTAGAATTATAGGGATGCTTTATTTTCTGAACACAGTCAGCACATTGTGGCTGTGTTCATGATTAATATTATTGAGAGTTGGCTTTCTCTTTTTATTATTAAGGCTTCCATTATTTTTAATCATTTTTTTTTTTTTTTTTTTACATGTGAATGAGGTTATTATGCTTGTATTTTCTACTAGTATGTTTTAGTCTGGTAGATGTGTTTAAATGAGTTCTAATGGAGTTGTGGTCAGATAGGTGTAACATAAGTCGTCTGGATAGGAAAGTAGTACTGTGACCGATGTAATTATGAGTTTAGTTTGATCAAGAATACAGTTCCTTAAAGAGCATTTGAACACGTAATAATGTTCATTTTTTTTGTCGTTTTGATTTTGCATTTGGCTTTTGTAGAAGATATTTATCCTATTGCTTTTGTCTGTGTGTTCAGTATTGTTATTATTTGCTTTGGAAACAAATAGTCTAATCTGGTAGTCAATGAGGTGATTAGAAAAACTATTGTTAACTAGTGTCTGTTGACTTAGTTCATAGATAAAGTTAGGGACAGATAAGACTATTTCTTTCCAAAGCAAATAATAACAATACTGAACACACAGACAAAAACAATACTATATTTTCTACGACAGCCAAATTCATGTCAACTATAAACAAGATGAATCTTTATATATATATATATATATATATATATATATAAAGAAATATAATTTTAAGGTGTGCTATATTTATGGGATAAAGTGCCCAATATCAGAGACAGACCGTATGTAAGTATAAATATAAAAGTGAACATTGAAGTCAACACAGGTGGCCTGACAATTGCATCCAGCATGAAACAGCCTGTCGCCTCTGAGTGTTGACTTCAATGTTCACTTTTATATTTATATATATATTATGTTTATTATAAGAGATAATAAAAACATGTTGAAATCACAACACAAAATCTTTCATGTTTCAGTAATATGATTGTACTTCTTCAGGCGATGGTAAGTAACTGGTGATTAAATGATTTTTAAGGAAAGTGTTGCCTCTTTTTTGAAAGTGGGGGGACATAAGGTCAGAATTAAAATTAGACTTGTGGCTATGTCTTGATTAACCATTTCAGATCTATGCTAAATAGGAAAGTAAGGTCAGAGGGTGGAGATGGGTGAGTTATTTTTTCATGTCATATATATATATATTACTTGAAAGCTCCCAAGAAAATTAAATTTTGGCATTAAATGACCCATAAGGTGTTAATATGCCATTAAACAAAGAAATCAAATATTGTATTGGAATTACTCTGCAATAATGTATATAATCAAACACAAATAGGTAGCATGAGGGCTATTCACAGACTGACCCAGTATGTTTGGGTACAACTGATTGTTAGCTGGATGCAATCATCAGGCCACCTGACAATTGCGTGCAGCATGAAACAGCCTGTCACCTCTGAGTGTTGACTTCAATGTTCACTTTTATATTTATATATATATATTATGTTTATTATAAGAGATAATAAAAACATGTATTGACCCAGTATGTTTGGGTACCAGTGATCGTTAGCTGCTTGTTCATTTCTGATGGATGTTCGAATCACAATGCACTCAATAAGAATGCCTGACTTTACAACATGTCAATTCTTGTTGCATTATTTAATGTTGAATTTTTTTATGGTGCACCGAGTGAGGATCATACTCATTATTCAGTAGTCATTGTTAACCTAACTAACCTTACTAAACATTACTGCATACCACGGTGCCTACAGGCTTATGGCCACATCATGTTGAAACACTGATTCCCATACAATCACTGAAGTTAAGCAACATCGAGCCTGGCCAGTACAGAGATAGATGACTTCTTAGGAATACCAAATGCTGTATGCATGGATGTGTGGGTGGTACAATGGATAACATCTTGGAGTTGTTAATCAGAGATCAAATTTCCAATTTCAGTTGGGTTTGTTATATTTACTTACACACAAATACCCTTGGGAAAGGTATGAATCCACCTCTTCTGCCCACAGCTATGGGTTAATTAGTGAAACTTCTATCAGTAAATCATTATTATCCCCACCCCAAAAAATCTTACAATCAAAGGGTTAATAAGCCAAAGAAAACAAATCAATCAATGAAATACTGATTAGGTATACAGGCATGTCTTTAGATTTATTTACATTCTCTGGAATATAAATGTATTGAAACTATGGTAGCCATAAAGTGAGGGATTTTTTTTTTTTTTAAGCGTTTCACCCCAAGCAAGGCGGAAAGCCATGAGGACGCAAGGGGTTACAGAAAATTTGGAGCAAGGTCAGATAGGAGTGATAGAAGAAAGGATGAGGAGAAGAGTAGTGGATAGATCAACGCAACTGGAGATACAGAGGCCAGTGAGAGAGAGAGAGTACTGGAAACCCCTTCCTAAACAAGAAACAAGGCGTAAGCCTCTACTCATGTCCAAGAGAAGGGGGAAGAGTGTGAGCCGGGATTGATTTTAATATAGAATTGACCCCCCCACTAAATTATATCCACATGATTATTACTTGTTTATCAAATTCTGATGAGGTATAAATCTACTTTTCCTCCTAACTATGGGTTAATTAGTAAGGATTGTATCAGTAAATCATAATTATCTCGAAAAACATTCTTATAATCTAAAGATATTTTCTGGCTTTAAATAACTTGCAAAGAAGTAATAAGCTGTAAGAAATGAATCAATGAATCCATCAAGGTGCCTACACAGCACATTTTGGGAAATTTACATTAACAATTCAAAATTTGAAATTAATTCAATCTGTTTAATGGATTTATTGAAAGCTTCTTTGCAAATAAGCTGATCTTTTTTTTTTTTTTTTCGCTTCAATTTAAATAAGGCATGACAATTAAAACATTTATCCCAGGTATATCTGCTTTACTATTAGACAAGGTTGGTTGTTTTTGTATAGCAGCATATCAACACCTCTATGGGTTATTTAGTGCCAAGATCTAAATATTTTGTAATCAATTTTATTTTATTTTTGGAGATTAGTAATACAGGTCTTACTAATTAACCCATAGCTGAGAGGAGAAGAGATAGATTCATACCTTTCCCAAGAGTATTTGCTCAAAAGTGAATATAATGAACTCAACAGGAATTAGAACTTGGCTCTCCGATTTACAATTCCAAGCCATTACCTATTGCACCACTTGCACATCCAAGTTTACAACAACTGGTATTGCCAATTAGTCACACGTCTCTGTACTGTAGGCTCAACATTGTTTAACTTCGGTGATCGTACAAGAACTGGTGTTTCAATGTGATGTGGCCATAAAAGCTAGATATTATGTGAATGTATTGATGTTCCCAAGGACACAAAGCCCAGTGGATAAAAGCATTGGTTGAGTAATCTAAAAAGTGACTTGACACAAATTTGCTTCAACTACAAATTTACAATAACAAATCATGATTTGAAATTAATTTAATCTTTTTAATGGATTTTTTTGAAAGCTTCTCTGCAAATAAGCTGATCTTTTTTTTTTGTTTTCGGTTCAAATTAAATAAGGCATGACAATTAAAACATTTATCCTATCCCAGGTATATCTGCTTTGCAATTAGACAAGGTTGGTTGTTTTTGTATAGCAGCATATCAACACCTCTATGGGTCACTTAATGCCAAAATCTAAATATTTTATATGCAATTTTATGGCTTCAACTACAAATATTTTGTACATAATTTTATACTTTCAGTGCAAACGTATGTTTATGTATATAGTTTGGAAAAGATAAACATATTGGTGGCAATTTCGCTATAAAAATGTATTTTTATACTTCAGTGCCATATTGATTGTCATTTTGCTATAATTTTAGTGTTGTATTGATTGTCATTTTGCAATAAAAATGTATTTTTATACTTCAGTGCCATATTGATTGTCATTTTGCTATAATTTTAGTGTTGTATTGATTGTCATTTTGCAATAAAAATGTATTACTACTAGACATTTTTTAATTTTTTTTTTTTTTTTATAAATATATTGCTGGCATTTTTACCATAATCTATTTTTATACTTTCTTAGTGAAACACCAAACAAAAATCAAAACACTATTTTTCCATAGCTGGGACCCTAACAGGTGCTACCACCCTGGATCAGGATGGACCTGAGAACAGCAGCAATTAAGAGGTGGTTCCACCCTCCTCAAAACCTCCAGGCCCTCGATCAGAAGCCTTGCTGATGGATGTAGCTTATTGTCATACCCAAGAATTTAGAAAAGGTTCACTCAAAGAAACAAAAATAAAAAGAGTTAAATTTCATTTCAACTTACCATTCTTTGATGCAAGATACATCAGAATTGATCTTTGCCTTGTAAAATTCGACCCACGTGTGAGTGAGGCCTTTTGGAATGTAATTGTTTAAGTTGGCTGTGTTGATGACTTTGTGTAAACTTTGCAGAGCAGACCTGCAAAGAGATAATTTTTGCAAAAATAAAGGTGTGTTCAATTTTATGCCCCTTCAGCACCTAACATGTCAAAAGCAACATATAGCAAGTAATCACTTCTTTTATGTTCTGTGTCCCTTCAAGACGTGAGCAATCATGGCTCTCCACAATTTCCTGTCCTTTTTGTTACCTCTCTTAAACCCCGCTCTGCCATCCATTTACACAAACTCATTCTTTTCTTCTATATGTCACGTTCTTTCAGGACATTGGCAATCATGGCTCTCCACAAATTTTGTCCTTTGTAGATCTTAATAAATTTTGTCTTTTTAACCTTATTCCACCATCCATTTACTCAAGCTCACTAGATAGGTTATGTGTTGTTTTTCTCTATCCCTCTTGCTCTCAATCTGTATTGTGAGTATCAGATTTTTCAAGCCTTCTTTCCTCATTATGTGCCCTAGAAATTTCAACTCTCTCTTCCTGATGTTAAGTATATGTATTTTTCACGTCACCACCGAATATGGCAAAAGGTCAGTTTAAAGTGGGTTTATGGCAATACTGGTGAAAAATTGCTCAAGCCTCCTTGGCACTTCCCCTTTTTGGTGACACCTCAGGTGCCAGGTCATGACCCCAGCCCACTCCCAAGGGAGAGATACTGTCTGGTGTGTGGATGGCTCTTGATATTAGGTATATATGTCCTTTTTGTTTCCAATTCCTGTAAAACTTTGTCGTTGCACAAATGTTTGATCACTAGTATTTCTTATTGAGATTTCCAAGAACTGTGTTCTAACTACTGTTTCCTATGTTCTTTTATTACCTATGGTAGGCCTTGACAAAATACAACCTGAAAGGCTACCAAGTCTGACTTACATTAGGTTTGCAAAATAGTAAATTTTTTGTGTTCGTCAAAAGTTGGTGACTGATCGCATACAAAAAAAATTCAGTTTTTGTGGAAGATTGATTTTATTCAAACAATGTTGAGTTATAACGGTAATAATAATATCTGTTTCCTTATAAGGAAACATTTGCCATTCATTGACCAAGCAGCTTGTACTACTATTGGTTGAAATTTACAAAATCTCTCTCCTGAAACAATTTTTCAGGAAAGTAGGTTTCTCAAATCCAGTAGCTCACTTTCCAGTATTGATTGGGGTTTCCTTCCTAACCTTTTGCTTGAAGTAATGTGGAATCTCTACATCTTGATTATGTCATTATTTTCTCTTAGAGCTACGTGATATCCATTTTAGCTGTTGCTGCTGTTGAAAATCATCAATTGATGTAGTTTCTGTTATTTGGCACAGTTCTTCACTTGTGACTGTAGCACAAGTCCATGAGGTTTGATGAAGGATACTCCTCACTAAGACCTACAGGTTTCATTTGCTTGAAGCCATTTTTTATCATTGATCTAAGAAAGTGCTTGTATACAGTTGACAATTTAGATATTTCTGAACAGCTTTGGTGCCAACCATGGCTTCCCTATGAAAGCCTCAATCTGATGAGGCCATTTATGAACATACACCCTTATGCAAATTAATTGAAACAAAACAAATAATTCCATTATTATTTACTTTTCATATTTTTCCAATGGAACCTGACCCAATGCACATGTTAGTACTTCATATGTCCAGAAGTCGTTCCTTGCAGATTGACCACAGATTTTCAATTGGATTTCAATCAGGAGAGTTTCTGGGCCAGTCTATAGTACTTTGATTCACTCACTGGTAAGGCTTGCCAGTGTGTTTGTGCAGCATTACAATTTTCATACGCTTCCTTGGAGTAACATCCACTGCAAACAATGGCTGTAGGACAACTAATTGACAATCGAGACAATAGTGTCTGAGTATGATAAAAACCTGATGCAATCACAGATGACAAAATATTTTTCAAGGCCAAACAAATGTCATCATACACCCCGAAAATAGATTTGTATTACTGCACACCACTGTAAATGATCTATTCTGTGGAAAAAATAGAAATCAATTACACCCTGTCACTCTAGTGGGTCTAAAACTGACCATATGGTGAAAGAAAGGAAACTAAAGCAGTTGTTTCAGTTAATTTGCCCAAGGATCTAACTTGAGTTTCTGGCTTAATGCTCTGGTTTTGTAATAATCTGTGTTGTTGGGTAAAATTATCCCAAATGCAGCCTATTCTATGCTCAATTTCCTTATATCCTATACTAAATTTGTTGCAGCTGATCCATGTGGGGCTTTTTGGTATCTATAGTTTCTGACAGGTTTAAGAGGAAAGCTTTATATCAGAATTAAAAAATGCAACTGCTTCTGTTAATTCCTTGTAGTAAACAATATGCTATAAAAGATTGAAAGAGAAAGGTGACAGTATGACTATAGATTTGAACCCTATCTAAGCATTAGGTTTCTGTGGTCAAATTGATTAAGGCACTGTCCATGTAAGAAGCACTGAAGGTATTTCTTAATTTTGAATTCACATGGTTTATCGTAAAAGGCAAAAAGTAAGTTTGTTCTGGAATGTTGTGTTAGGAAGCAAGGAAAAAGGAAATAAGACAAAAATGAGAGAAAAAAAATAAAAAGAGGAAAAAATTCTTACCACATTGCCTGGACTGAGACAGGTTTGAATAGATAATCGGCTCCTTCAGAATTCACACTAAAGCCTCTGAAAAAAAAACAAAAAAAACAGAAAAATTTAAGCATGACATATATTAGTAATATACAAATTATCAATAAAATATATTACATTTGTTGTGACTGCCAACAAATATATACTCACAAAAGAACTAAGAAAATCTGGTAAAGTTTAATCTTTGTGCCTGCAAAAAAACAGTTATTCCCCTGACACTGCTATTTTTTTTAATCCCTCAGCAATGTTCATTTACAAGATTATAAAAATGTGTGAACCAAGTACAGTGTGATATTTATTATTTACCTTTTATAAAGATTTATTTTTAAACATTTTATAAAGAAATAAATTTAAAAAGCTATCTTCTTATTCTAAAATTTATAAAAAATTACAAAATTATCAAAATATGTAAACAATAAGGCAATATTACAGACGAAATTACAAACGACCTGTAATTAATTGTAATGTACAGATGACCTGTAATTAAACACAAGGAAAATTTTGTCCATCCACGGAATAGGGAGATACACACTGAAAATATTGAATTTTGCAGTCTTATCTGGAATTAAAAGAATGTTTGATATCCTTATAGTTAGTTTACATGTTTTTTTTATTTCAAATATAAAATTATTCTTGTAAATAAGCAATCTAACAAATAACTAGTTTTTAATATCTGTTGTCAATTCTGAAGAATATGTTCTTGTAAATATAAAATTATTCTTGTCGATAAGCAATCTCATAGTGTTTGATCTTAATTCTCAAGAATAAAGTAAACGTATAAATCCACTTTCATATGTTTGTGTTTTATTAAAATTCTAATCTTGGCTTTATAAAAACAAACATTAACGAGGGAGTCAAAAAAAGTCTCAACAGAATAACTGTCCTTTTGACATCATATTTTTTTGTGGCCAGGAAGGTTAAACATTGCCAAAATTCTCCCATTGTGAGATGTTATCATTCTGAGATTTGTTTAAACAACTAAATTTATTATTATTCTTGTTTCTGCTGATCCATTCTACTGCCTTCTTCTAGTGTAAAATCAGCATGGGGAAAAAAAAAGAGAGAGAGAGAGAAATAGGTCTCTGTCTTCAGTAAAATGGTAACAAACAGTTTTCAACTGGCTTGCATTGCTAAGGAAAAATAATTCTCTGGAGAGAGATTATATATCTGATGAAGAATCATGGACATACCAAAATGGTATGCCAAAAAAAATGTTCTTGGAAGAGATCCCTGAAATTCAGTATTTGATTAATAAACAATCATTGCAAATGATTTTGCTTAATATTTCAATGTTTATCTGTATCACCATCAAAAAATTCAAGAAGTGTGTATGTGTGTGTGTGTGTGTGTGTGTGTGTGTGTATAGCAATATAAATATCTTCAATTTTTTCACATGTGTGCAAGTGAAATAACATTTATCAGGTAATTTGCTTTTTAAGCCCTGTGCTAAATATGTAATAAAAATTTGTCAAATAGTTATATTTAGGTATAAATTTACATGCCTAATTAAAAAATAAAAATTTTGCTAAAATCTACCATTTAGAAGTTATTGACAATAAAAATTCGAACTCATTTGCATTACAGTACAGCAGCCATTACTGACGTTGTTTGCATACATTCGCTGCTGATCAGATTTGTGCAGAAAATTACAATGTTAACAGCCTCTTTATGGTTCTTACTTGACTGAATTACTATGCAACTAAAGACTCATTTTGTGCTCAATAAAAAAAAGTTATTCTGCAGCAAATATCTGCAAACAACGCCAGTAATGGCTCTCACAACAGGAATGAGTTCTAACTTCTATTGTCAATAACTCTAAAACAGTAGATTTTATCAAAATTTCTTTGTTATTTTCGAATTAAGCAAGTAAATTTACACCTAAATGTAACTATTCAGCAAATTTTTATTACATATTTAGCGCGGGGGCCTAAAAAGCAAATTACCCTAATTATCAACATGGGAAATGGAATCAGCAAGCCAAAATCCAACTGATTGTGTTCTTTTGACATTAATGCTCTTAGGAAATGTATGATTCAAGCTCTTTTCCACTGCAGCTATAAGTAAAATAATAGGGTAAACTGAGAGCTCTGTAATCTTCTAATTGTCTGAGAGAACCCTTTTTGGTTTCCATCAACATGGCTGACACTAACTTCCAGAAGAGTGACTCTGCACCTTCTCAGACTAATGTTTTCTAATGATATGAAGTGGAAAGAGTATACTGAATCAATTGCTAAGTCTGCAGCTAGGAAAGTTGGTTCACTGTGTTGTGCTAGGTAATTTTTCTCATCTGAATCTATCTTACATATTTATAAGTCTACCATTTGTCCTTGCTTTGAATATTGCTGCCACGTCTGGTCAGGTGCCCCTGCTGTATATTTAGAGATTCTTGATAAACTCCAAGGAAGAATCTGTAATGTTATTGGTCCTGACCTGGCATCTCAGCCTCAGTTACTTTCCCATCACCATAATGTAGCTTCCCTGTGCCTTTTCTATAAATACTGACATGGCAATTGTTTTGATGAACTTTCCTCTATGGTATCTAGACTTTATGAATTTAAGTGCAATACTAGATTGACAAAAGGTCTTGTTATTTTACAATTGAAAAGACTAGATGTAACCATAAGTTCTATGCTAAAAGTTTCTTCTATCACACTTTTCATTTGTGGAACTCTTCCAGCTTCTTGCATCACAGTCAACTTTGATCTTCAAAAATTTAAATGCAATGTCAGTCATTATCTTCTTAATTCTTGTTCTTTTATTGTCCTCTCTCCTTTATAGTAGCTTTTTATCATATTCTATAACACTCAGTAATCCCTTGCATCTTAGTGGCTTTATTACCTTGATTGGGGTAAAGTAATTTTTAAAAAAAAATCATTCAAAGAGTACTACTACGTATAATTCCAAACTTTGTAGAATGCAATGGGATATCATCATCATGAATCTCATGATTAGTTCCCTCCATGTCTTGGTTGCATACCAATGGCTAAGTCTCTGTGAACAATCATCCCATCCATTTAGTGACATTGTCAGCACATTTTCCCTCTGTCTGCTTCTTCTTTTGCCTTGTGGTATGGTAGGGGAAAGATTGTGGGATCTTATGACATGGCCATACCATTTCAACTTTCTCTTCTTGACAGTGGTTATGAGGTCTTTCAATGGGCCTATTTCTTGTTTGATGGTGTTTCACATTGCATCATTATTTTATGTGGTTTATGTAGGAGATGACTTGTATAGTTCTAAAGTGTGTGATACCCAGGACAAAGTTATCTATCTGGTTTCAGTAAGCTTGTTTTATAGGCTTGCTTGCTGCATTATTATTATTATTAGTAGTAGTAGTAGTAGTACCACCCTGACTGGGTGTAGTCATAGGATCACTGCTCAGTTAAACACCTGATCAACTCCTTCCATCTGTTTTGGTTGCATGCCAATGTCTGAGTATCTGTGAAGGATCCAGTCAGTGATGTTGGCTAACCATTTTTCCTTCTGTCTGCCTCATCTTCTTTTATCTAAGGTGATACCTTGTGGGTTTGGTTTGCTTTGGTTTTACGGCATATCAACCTCAATGGATTATTTAATGCCGACAAAAGTATTTATTGTTTGATACCTTGTGGTATGGCAGTGAAAAGTTTGTTGGTCCATATAACATGGCCATACCATTTCAACTTTCCCTTCTTGAAAGTCGTTATGAGGTCTTCCAATCGGCATGTTTCTTGTCTGACGGTATCTTGTATTGTGCCATTTGTGATGCATTCTACACAAGAAATGCCTGAGATGGTTCTCTAGCATGTTTCTAATGCTTTTCCTGCTAATGTCCAAGATTCATAGGTGTACAAAATGTAGAAACTTTGTGCGCTTATTTTAGCAAAGCTCAGTAGAAGGGGAGAAATATGGGAATTCAACTGTCATCTTGTGACGAAAATATCTTTCATTAAATTATTTCATCTTTACCAAAAATGTATTGTAATGAGTTCCAGTTGACACCATCAGATTGAAGGGGAGTCAAAATTTGCATATGCGTTCAAAGAAAGATAATAAAAAAATGTAAGAAATAGTCAGCCAAAGGCTGTGGTAGCAGTAATTTTTCTTCTTTTGTTCTGAACGTGCTCCGCCTTTCGAAGCTGACGGGACATGTTAACAAAACTGTTAATAAGAGTCTTAACTCTTTTTTTTTCCCCAACGTTACTTCTACAAGGAGAACTGCTTGTAGGCATCATATAGCTTTTTTTTTTTTTTTGTTGCAATTCTTTTTACTCAAACGATTGCCACTGCGAGACTACACCAGTAACAAGTGAGAATTCCACAATTCATTATCATTTCTTTCTTTCTTTCTATGCTGAGTTTCACTTCAAATGCTAATAGTTGCCATTATAGTTTACTTACCTTCCCTTTCCCCTGTCGGACTTGAATTCCCAACAAAAAAGACTGAGAAGGCCAATGAACATAATGATTTGATCTTTGATTTCAGGCAGATGTTATTGTCATTCCAGATGGTTCTCAGTTTTGTAATAGTTGCCATTGATTGCGCTATTCTTAAAATTATTCTGGAATGCTCTTTGCTCATAATCAAGCCAAGATATTTGAATTGTATCATTACTTTAAGCACCAACTTTTACCTTGCTTGAAAGACAGAGGTTTCCTTTTCACAAACTCATGATAATGAGGAAAGGAAACTACTATCTTCCCCCAAACAAAATGATGCCAATTCCTAATTTACAGATATTAAAGAAAAGTAATTAAAAAAAAAGAAAAAAAGTTGATCAATGTCAAAAGAAAGATCGAATAGTTTTCTACTGCTAATGAACCCTTTGCAGATTATTTAAAGCTAGAAAATATTTTTATATTATAAGAATTATTTTTTTGGAGATAATGATTTTAGTAATACAAGTCTACTAATTAACCCATAGCTGGAGGGAAAAGAGGTGGATTCATACCTTTCCCTTTACATGTAAGTGAAAATAACAGACCCGACTGGAATTGGAACTCAGCTCTCCGATTAACAATTCCAAGCCATTATCCCCTACCACAACCACCCACCCACCCATTCAAGCTTAAATCAACTGGTATTCCCAAGTGGGCACCCATTTGGATTCTGACCAGGCTCAACATTGCGCAACTTCAGTGATCATACAGGAACTATTATTTCAACATGATATGGCTGTAAGCTCTCAAAAGAACAATAAAGAATTTGAGGCGAGTAACAGTGGTGAGTAATACACTTCAAATAAAAAAAATTAACAGATGAGAAAGAAACACCAAACAGCCTTTGCATCACAGTGAATATCATCTCCACAAAGTCCTTTCTGCTAAAGCAAAACAACAAAAAAAAATTAAAAAAAAAAAAAAAATATATATATATTTTTTTACCCATCACCATCCAGAGTGATTTTTGTGTTAGCCCATATCGCCAACACAAGGCCAATGGTGGCTTCTTTCTCCTTGAGGTCCAGACCCAAGATGATTGATTCCTCTGTGTCTTGGTTTCCATTGCAGCAGACAACTGCCATGTAGCGCCAGATTTTCCGATCTTGGTAACAGCTTTCCAACTTAACGGCCTGATATTAAATAAATAAAGAAAGAAAAAGAAAGGAAAAAACACCTTTGTATGTTTAAACTCAACAATGAAATTTTCTGATTCTAGATTCACACATCTAAATTAGAATCATTTTTACAAGTACTTTATATATGTTTATACAGTGTAACCCAGATATAAGTGAGTTGTCGGGACCGGATAAGAAGTCTCTTATATCCGGGTTTGGTCTATTTTATATACATTAACACAGGCTCTAATTTGGGACCAGAGAAAATCTCTCTTATATCTGGGTTACACTGTATATGTTTGTGCATGTATATAATTATTTTTATTTTGTCTTTAGTAATTTGTCCTTTTAGTGGGATTATATATATATTTGAAAAATGTATGACAAATTGGAAAAATTTTCTGTGATGCGTTTCATCCATTAGGACTTTTTTGGACTGGGTTTGCTTACATTATTGTTACTACATAGGCACACCACGACAGAAACAAACCCAGTCCGTTAAAGTCTTAATAGAAGAAACATGTCACAAAAACTTTCCAATTCGTCATACATCCTTTTTTTTTTCTTTCAATACTTTTCTTGATATATAAAAATTTATATATAGTATATATATATATATATATATATATATATATATATATATATATATATATATATATATGTGTACACATGCAGGGTGTATCAAAATACTTTTACAAACTTTAGGGGCAGGTTCCTCACACCAAAACAAGGGCAAAAGTTGATAAATGTATGTCAGCAAATCCTTCATTTTTGAGTTATTAAGATTGAAGGAAGTTTATGGTACATGGTGCTGTGTTGCCATGTAGACTAGTGTACATTTGTGAGAGACTCGCGTTTAATGTGTGTAGCAGTGAGGTAACTGAGAAGTATTCCATTTAACAATGGCAGGATATTCATATCATGACCAGGCTGACATGATTTTTGCATACTGCCATGTGAATGATAATGGCTGCATTGCTGTATCAGACTTAGTTTCCAGACCAAAGACAGCCAAGTCATCCAATCTTTCCTGCTATTTGTCATTGCATTACTGAGACAGGATCCATTGCAGCAGAAACTATAGATTGCGGAAAACAGAGATCCACTGACCATAAAGAACACATTCTACAGGCTGTCGAAGATAATCTAGGTATCAACACACCTCAAGTGGCCCTAGCATGTCATTCATCTCATAGTGTCACATAGAGGGTACTTCAAGAGCAGCTTCTGTATCATATCATTTGAAACATGTACATGGTCTTTCGCCCTCTGATCACTCGCCATGGGAGAACTCTTGCCGGTGGTTTATTGCACAAACTGCCAATCCGTTGTTTGTCTCTTCAGTCTTGTTTACAGATGAGGCAACATTTGGAAGAGATGGAATAACAAATTTACACAACCAACATCTGTGGGCGGATCAGAATCTCCATGGTACAATACAAGCTAGAAACCGGCATCAGTTTATGATTAATGTGTGGGCTGGAATTGTAGGTGACTGTCTGGTAGGTTCATATGTTCTCTCAGCATGTCTTACAGGAGCTGTCTACAGGGATTTTATTTTGAACACACTTCCAGACCTGCTAGAGGATGTACCCCTGCTAATATGAAGACGCATGTGGTTCATGCATGATGGAGCACCAGCATATTTTAGTCACATTGTTCATGATGCACTGGCTGACATCTACCATGAAAGATAGATAGGTAGAGGAGGACCGGTTCCAGGGTCTGCACATTCCCCATAAAACAATTGCTTTATGCAGCAGACATTAATAATACAGAGACACTTCATCAACAGGTCATGGACACCTGCGAATCAATTCAACACAGTGTGGGAGCATTTGAAAGGGTCCACCAGTCAATGATCTGATGGGTGCATGCATGTGTAGAAGCAAGCGGAGGCCATATTGAACATTTGTTATGAGTTATTGTGCTAAGGTACAACGATGGCTTTTTGGACATATGTTTTTATGGATATTTTACCTTGTTTTGGTGTCAGGAACCTGCCCCAAAGTTTGTAAAAGTATTTTTAATACACCATATATATATGTATGTGCGTGTGACATCTTACCATGAAGTAATGGTGAGCAAGATATTCTAGAAGACTATCACTGTTCTTCAGAGTGGCCACACTTATAAACTTGTGCCAGACAATAGTAACTATCTCAAAGAGCAATAGAGCCAATAGCAATATCTATTTATCAAGTGTTCTTGTACCAGACTAAGTTATATACAATTGCTAAAAAACAAAAACAAAACATTACTTCATAGATAGATATAAATCAGGACCTTACCCCCAAATACCTATTATAAAATTATAAAGGAAAAAAAGAGATTGCAAAATGTTACAACAATAGTGTTTGTTTCATGCTGTGACACTATTTAGCTATGGTAATTGATTAACTAATTAACAATAAAAATTAAACAAGAAATGCTGAGAATGGAAAGAAGATATCCTGAAAAATATACTGTTCAATATTAAAAAGATTTTATTTTATTTCCCAAAAAGTTATTTTTATCAAGAACCCAAGAATTTGCGTAAACAGTGGACTCATAAAAAGGCCATATGGCAAGCTTTTGACAATTGATTAAAGATGTTTGTAAAAGTACTGGTTAAGGAAAACACGAGAATCAGAAAGTGCCGAAGATATCATTCAAAGTCAGTTGGGACAGAAATCAAAATGGGTCAAAATTCTGTATCCACAACTACCTTCTTCACACATGAAGAACTAAGAGTCTCTCCTCTGTTGTCCAAAGTAGCATTCTTTTATTGGGGTAAGAAAGGTTGTGACTGGTCAATACTGATAGGAAAGTGCAAACAATTATCATATTTCGAGACCTAATAAAGTTGGCCTGCTCTTCATCAGTTTCATAATTCCAACATGAGGAAATACTGAGGGTGTAAAGCAAAAGGGTTCAAAAATGTATAACTAACTTCTTCACCCACAAATAACTAAGAGTCTCTTCTCTGTCACCCAAAGTACCATTCTTTATTTGCCGTATGAAAGGTTGTGATTGGTCAAGACTGTAGGGAAGCGCAAATAATAGCAATATTTCCAAAACTCAACCAGATCTTGTTTCTAACCCTGCACAGAAAACACAAATCCTTTTCTGAGGTTTTTCTCCTTCAATGTCACGTTATCCTTTCTTTTTGCTTTAATATATTTGTATTTATTTTGTGAATATATATAATCATAAGTATAGTGAGGGGAGGCATAATTTCAAAGATCAAAGGACATTGTAGCTTGAGAGAGACACATAAAAAAAAAACTCTTACCACTTTGATTGTATCCTCTGGCCGGAGCAGATAGAACATTTGCTGAAGATGTTGCTGTATATCACCTGAAAGGAAAGAAAATAAGCTTTTTTACTTTTGCTAATCAATTTAGAAATAAAAAAAAATCATTAAAATTATATAAACAGGAAACATTTAAGGTATTTTACAACTAACACATTCTGCTGTTTATCCTGAATAGAGAAAGTCTTTTATAGCCAGTCTCCTAGCGGTAATACAGATTGGTAATCAGTAATCCGGCCCTAATTTCCACAAGAGTAATTTCAGATTAACCAGGTCACTACACTGGCTTGCCACTACTGTTTTGTGGCACTGGTTTCTGTATCAGCTGGTTTTTAATAACACTTTCAAAAATTGAAATGATATTTCTTATATTTGTGTATTTTTATTATACAATCACAGAATCAATGAATACAAAAAGTGCATTTTGTGGTGTGAATTGAAATACCATACATTCACTAGCTTTTCATTTTTCTTTTTCCTTTATTAACCAATAAAAGGGAAGGATGCAGTGGTTAGTTGTTGGGCTAAGTGTATTCTAATGTAACCAACAGTAATCTGGAAAAATCACTGGTCCCAGTGACACTAGATTAATATACTGTACCGGTATAATGATTACAGAATAAAATTGGAATGTTTTAGTTGACTCTCTTTATTTTTTTAGTAAAAATAAAAAAAAAAGGACTAAAACAACATTTCTTATAGAGTGTCAATTTATTTTCACAGCAAGACAGAGTGGGTATTGTTGAGAGACCTTCATATCTATCTTATCACTGTAACAGTTTTTGTGGGTAACCTACCTCTTCTCCTGAGAAATATTTTAAGACTCTCTGTGTGCTCCGAACCTTCAGGATATGAGTGATCATTATTCTCCACAGCTTCCTGCCGTTGGCTGATTGCAGCAATACTTGAACCATCACAATCTCACTTAGTCTTCATGTTACTCATTTTAATTATGCAATATTATCAATTAGGCTAATTGTTACATTCCTCTTCTTCTCTTGCTTTTTGTCTCGTGAGTGCTAAATTCTCTAAACCTTCTTTCCACATTACCATGATGGATATACAGAAGTGCACCATCTTGTCAAAATTGAAACTTCTTTTTGAAATAATCAATGAATTCTTGGCACCATTGAGCTTTCAAATACATTGTGATGCTTTTTAGTACACTTGAGAAAGACTTGTAATTTTTTTTAATCATTTCACCCCAAGAAAGACAATGCCATTAGTACACAGGAGGTTACATGATATGCAGTGATGAGATGTAAAAGTACTTACCTCCATTGTTGCGAGAAGACCTTTGAGAACAGTCACTCTGTGGTAAGATAAGGGCTGCACCTTTGACTGTGAAATAGTTCTCACTAAAACTAGAAAGAAAGAACAAAAATTAGTAACAAGAAAACACTTTAATAGTAAGCAAGATTCACAGCTACAGAGTCAGCAGAAAATGTTTGTGAGCAGTAGACAAGTTGTCAGTTGATATTGAGCAGTAGATAGCCAATGTGCTGTCAGCAAAGATCACTTGATAGTGAGCAGTAGATAGCCAATAGGGTTGCCAGCAATGGTCAGTTGATAGTGAGCAGTAGATAGCCAATAGGGTTGCCAGCAATGGTCAGTTGATAGTCAGCAGTAGATAGCCAATGTGATTGTCAGCAATGGTCAGTTGATAGTCAGCAGTAGATAGCCAATGTGGGGTTGTCAGCAATGGTCAGTTGATAGTCAGCAGTAGATAGCCAATAGGGTTGCCAGCAATGGTCAGTTGATAGTCAGCAGTAGATAGCCAATGGTGGTCAGTTGATAGTCAGCAGTAGATAGCCAATGTTATCAGCATTGTCAGCAATAGCCAATGTGTTTGATAGTCAGCAATCAGTTGATGATCAGGTAGCCAATGTGATAGTCAGCAATGGTCAGTTGATAGTCAACAGTAGATAGCCAATGTGGGGTTGTCAGCAGTCAGTTGAGTAGATAGCCAATGTGGGTTGTCAGCAATGGTCAGTTGATAGTCAGCAGTAGATAGCCAATGTGATTGTCAGCAATGGTCAGTTGATAGTCAGCAGTAGATAGCCAATGTGGGGTTGTCAGCAATGGTCAGTTGATAGTCAGCAGTAGATAGCCAATGTGATTGTCAGCAATGGTCAGTTGATAGTTGATAGTCAGCAGATAGTAGATAGCCAATAGTCAGCAGGATAGCCAATTGATTGTCAGCAATGGTCAGTTGATAGTCAGCAGTAGATAGCCAATGTGATTGTCAGCAATGGTCAGTTGATAGTCAGCAGTAGATAGCCAATGTGATTGGGTTGTCAGCAATGGTCAGTTGATAGTCAGCAATGTAGATAGCCAATAGATAGGTGATTGTCAGCAATGGTCAGTTGATAGTCAGCAGTAATGATAGTCCAATAGCCAATGATTGTCAGCAATGGTCAGTTGATAGTCAGCATAGCCAATGTGATTGTCAGATTGATAGTCAGCAAATGTGATTGTCCAATTGTCAGCAATGGTCAGTTGATAGTCAACGATAGATAGCCAATGTGATTGTCAGTTGATAGCCAATGTGGGGTTGTCAGCAATGGTCAGTTGATAGCCAATGATGGGGTTGTCAGCAATGGTCAGTTGATAGTCAGCAGTAGATAGCCAATGTGATTGTCAGCAATGGTCAGTTGATAGTCAGCAGTAGATAGCCAATGTGATTGTCAGGTTGAGCAGTAATGGTCAGTTGATAGTCAGCAGTAGATAGCCAATGTGATTGTCAGCAATGGTCAGTTGATAGTCAGCAGTAGATAGCCAATGTGGGGTTGTCAGCAATGGTCAGTTGATAGTCAGCATAGATAGCCAATGTGATTGTCAGCAATGGTCAGTTGATAGTCAGGTCAGTAGATAGCCAATGTGGGCAATGTTTGTCAGCAATGGTCAGTTGATAGTCAGCAGTAGATAGCCAATTGTCAGCAATGGTCAGTTGATATTGATTGTCAGCAATGGTCAGTTGATAGTCAGCAGTAGATAGCCAATGTGATTGTCAGCAATGGTCAGTTGATCAGCAGTCAGGTCAGTTGATAGTCAGATAGATAGCCAATGTGGGATTGTCAGCAATGGTCAGTTGAATGTGATTGTCAGCAATGGTCAGTTGATAGTCAGCAGATAGATAGCCAATGTCAGATTTGTCAGCAATGGTCAGTTGATAGTCAGCAGTAGATAGCCAATGTGATTGTCAGCAATGGTCAGTTGATAGTCAGCCAATGTAGAATGGTCAGTTGATAGTCCAAGATAGTGGGGTTGTCAGCCAATGGATTGTCAGTCGATAGTCAACTTGATAGATAGCCAATGTGATTGTCAGCAATGGTCAGTTGATAGTCAGCAGTAGATAGCCAATGTGGGGTTGTCAGCAATGGTCAGTTGATAGTCAGTAGATAGCCAATGTGATTGATAGTGAGCAATGTGATTGTCATAGATAGCCAATGTAGATAGCCAATGTGGGGTTGTCAGCAATGGTCAGTTGATAGTCAGCAGTAGATAGCCAATGTGATTGTCAGCAATGGTCAGTTGATAGTCAGCAGTAGATAGCCAATGTGGTCAACAGGATAGTTGTCAGCAATGGTCAGTTGATAGTCAGCAGTAGATAGCCAATGTGATTGTCAGCAATGGTCAGTTGATAGTCAGCAGTAGATAGCCAATGTGATTTGTCAGCAATGGTCAGTTGATAGTCAGCAGTAGATAGCCAATGTGATTGTCAGCAAAGGTCAGTTGATAGTGAGCAGTAGATAGCCAATGTATGGTTGTCAGCAATGGTCAGTTGATAGTCAACGAGTTAGCCAATGTGATTGTCAGCAATGGTCAGTTGATAGTCAGCAGTAGATAGCCAATGTGATTGTCAGCAATGGTCAGTTGATAGTCAGCAGTAGATAGCCAATGTGATTGTCAGCAATGGTCAGTTGATAGTCAGCAGTAGATAGCCAATGTGATTGTCAGCAATGGTCAGTTGATAGTCAGCAGTAGATAGCCAATGTGGGTTATTGATAGTCAGCCAATAGATAGCCAATGTGGGTTGTCAGCAATGGTCAGTTGATAGTCAGCAGTAGATAGCCAATGTGATTGTCAGCAATGGTCAGTTGATAGTCAGCAGTAGATAGTCCAATGTGATTGTCAGCAATGGTCAGTTGATAGTCAGCAGTAGATAATGATGATTGTCAGCAATGTCAGTTGATATCAGATAGCCAATGTGGGGTTGTCAGCAATGGTCAGTTGATAGTGAGCAGTAGATAGCCAAATGGTGATAGTCAGCAGTGATAGCCAATGCAATGGTCAGTTGATAGTCAGCAGTAGATAGCCAATGTGATTGTCAGCAATGGTCAGTTGATAGTCAGCAGTAGATAGCCAATGTGATTGTCAGCAATGGTCAGTTGATAGTCAGCAGTAGATAGCCAATGTGGGGTTGTCAGCAATGGTCAGTTGATAGTCAGCAGTAGATAGCCAATGTGATTGTCAGCAATGGTCAGTTGATAGTCAGCAGTAGATAGCCAATGTGATTGTCAGCAATGGTCAGTTGATAGTCAGCAGTAGATAGCCAATGTGATTGTCAGCAATGGTCAGTTGATAGTCAGCAGTAGATAGCCAATGTGATTGTCAGCAATGGTCAGTTGATAGTCAGCAGTAGATAGCCAATGTGATTGTCAGCAATGGTCAGTTGATAGTCAGCAGTAGATAGCCAATGTGGGGTTGTCAGCAATGGTCAGTTGATAGTGAGCAGTAGATAGCCAATGTGATTGTCAGCAAAAGCCAGTTGATAGTGAGCAGTAGATAGCCAATGTGATTGTCAGCAATGGTCAGTTGATAGTCAGCAGTAGATAGCCAATGTGATTGTCAGCAATGGTCAGTTGATAGTCAGCAGTAGATAGCCAATGTGGGGTTGTCAGCAATGGTCAGTTGATAGTCAGCAGTAGATAGCCAATGTGATTGTCAGCAATGTGATTAGTCAGCAATGGCCAGCGCCAGCAATGGTCAGTTGATGTCAGCAGTAGATAGCCAATGGGGTTGTCAGCAATGGTCAGTTGATAGTCAGCAGTAGATAGCCAATGTGATTGTCATTCAGTTGATAGTCAGCAATGGTCAGTGGTCAGATAGTCAGCAGTAGATAGCCAATGTGATTGTCAGCAAAGATCACTTGATAGTGAGCAGTAGATAGCCAATGTGGGTTGTCAAATGGTCAGTTGATAGTCATAGATAGCCAATGTGATTGTCAGCAATGGTCAGTTGATAGTCAGCAGTAGATAGCCAATGTGGGGTTGTCAGCAATGGTCAGTTGATAGTCAGCAGTAGATAGCCAATGTGATTGTCAGCAAAGATCCTTGATAGTGAGCAGTAGATAGCCAATGTGGGGTTGTCAGCAATGGTCAGTTGATAGTCAGCAGTAGATAGCCAATGTGATTGTCAGCAATGGTCAGTTGATAGTCAACGATAGATAGCCAATGTGGGGTTGTCAGCAATGGTCAGTTGATAGTCAGCAGTAGATAGCCAATGTGATTGTCAGCAAAAGATCACTTGATAGTGAGCAGTAGATAGCCAATGTGGGGTTGTCCCAGCAATGGTCAGTTGATAGTCAGCAGTAGATAGCCAATGTGATTGTCAGCAATGATCAGTTGATAGTGAGCAGTAGATAGCCAATGTGATTGTCAGCAATGGTCAGTTGATAGTCAGCAGTAGATAGCCAATGTGATTGTCAGCAAAGATCAGTTGATAGTGAGCAGTAGATAGCCAATGTGGGGTTGTCAGCAATGGTCAGTTGATAGTCAGCAGTAGATAGCCAATGTGATTGTCAGCAATGGTCAGTTGATAGTCAGCAGTAGATAGCCAATGTGGGGTTGATTGGTCAGTTGAATAGGTAGCCAATGTTTGATAGTCAGATAGTCAGATAGATAGCCAATGTGATTGTCAGCAATGGTCAGTTGATAGTCAGCAGTAGATAGCCAATGTGATTGTCAGCAATGGTCAGTTGATAGTCAGCAGTAGATAGCCAATGTGGGGTTGTCAGCAATGGTCAGTTGATAGTCAGCAGTAGATAGCCAATGTGATTGTCAGCAATGGTCAGTTGATAGTCAGCAGTAGATAGCCAATGTGGGGTTGTCAGCAATGGTCAGTTGATAGTCAGCAGTAGATAGCCAATGTGATTGTCAGCAAAGATCCGATAGTGATAGTGAGGAAGATAGCCAATGTGGGGTTGTCAGCAATGGTCAGTTGATAGTCAGCAGTAGATAGCCAATGTGATTGTCAGCAATGGTCAGTTGATAGTCAGCAGTAGATAGCCAATGTGGGGTTGTCAGCAATGGTCAGTTGATAGTCAGCAGTAGATAGCCAATGTGATTGTCAGCAATGGTCA